TGGCAACTCCAGTCCCTCAGAAGCAAAGCATAATGCGGGGCGCTGCACTGCTGGGACACCCTATTACAGACTGCACACTCTGGGACAGTTTCCACCTCAGCTACAGTGTGGGTCTTGGCAGCAGCAGATGCCACACCCCAACTCCCTGCTCCTTTGAAGCTGCACTAGGGTAAATGGTCCACCCTTCCTCCCTCATCACAGAGGGGTCTGGCCATCAGCGCGACACAAAATCCGGCCTGGATGTTGTGGTGCACACCTGTCATCCCAGCACTCAAGAGGCTGAGACAGGAGAATCACTACAAGTTTGAGGCTGGTTTGGGCTACATAGTTAAATGGCAGCTTGAACTACACAGTGAGACCATATCTCAAAAAAAAAAAAAGAAAAGCCCCCTCTTGAGATCAGTGGCCTTGGATCCAGGCCGTGCCCAATTCTCCCTTATCACTAAGTAAATATGAAGGTATCAGACATGCAGCCTGGAACCTCAACATTCCTGTCTTAATCCAGTCCAAGTTTAGTGCTCGAGATGGGTGGAAATGTGTCTCCCAGAGAAGATGTGGTTGAATCCAAACTCAGGGTTCTTGTGATGTGACCTTAGTTGGAAACAGTCTTTGTAGATGTAATCCAGCTAAAATGTAGTCACCCTGCATTAGATGAGCCCTAAATTCAAGACTGGTGCCTCTTGCTTTTCATTGCTGTACTGGGGACTGAACCCAGGGCCTCCTGCTGAGCTACAATCCCAGAACTTTTTATCTGAATTGCTAAATTACCCAGACTGGCCTTGAACTTGCCAACCTCCTGCCTCAGCCTCTCAGAGTACTGATCGTACCGAGATTACAGGAGTATTGCCACCACACCTGTCCCCCCGTTAGTGTTTTGTTATATACAGGCCAGGCTGTTAAGCTGGCCTCAATTTGCAGTTCTGCTTCAGCCTACTGAGTAAGGGTATGTACTGCCACACTTGACTCTGCCTTTTGTCTTTTGGAATATAAGTCCTTCGAGAGTAAAGGTAGGATATTGGTTTCTTTGGTGTTGTCAAATGCTACAAGTGATCAGATTTTGAACATTGAGTGACTGAGTTGTTTTCCCCAGGGAGAACAGGTTTTCGGTTAAGGCCTGCAGTCACCTTCCAGTTGGAGGTTAACTGGTCAGTTGCTTCCTTGTGGCCTGTCCCCCCAAGACTGATTGCCTGGACTGCTGCAGGCCAGAGGTCCTTTCAGACCAGCACTAATTTCTGTTAGTGCCCTTTGTCCAGTCGGCTCTGTATTCAGTTACTCGTGTCCACTTTCTCTGAGCTCTCAAGGGACGAAGTGGGTCAGGTGCGTCCCACATGTTTGGGGGTTGTAGAAAATCACTAACGTTTTAGACTTTTATCTTCCCGACATAACAGTGAGATTTCTTTCTTCATGCAATGGCCGATTTCCTGTTCTATTTTAAACTTTAGGGGAAATATTTCAAATAGGCCTGGTCATTTTCTTGCCAATTAACGGTTTCCCTAAGGAATCATCTGTTTATCAGAAAAGATCCTTAAATAGTTACGCCTTGGCCCATGTATCATTTTTTTTTTTTCTAAAAGGCTGTTAAATAGGTTAACATTTCTGGACTGAAACCTTGCCAGATATAGAGTGCTGGGCACGTGACATGCATGGCCTGTTTCACAAAGTGGCATCTCTCCTCTCAGGAAGATTTGTGGCTGCACTTGTAGATCTGGGAGGGCTGGCTTTACCCAGATGTCTTCAACAACAAAGGAGACAGATGCAGAAATAATCAGCAATTTAGAAAGTCAGTAAGTGCCCCAGGAGCCTGTTTATAACAGGTGGAATTGCTGTCAGCAAGGAAGTAGCTTAATATTGATGCAGCTCAGTGGCAGAGCACTTGAGAGGCTGGGGAAAAAGAGGGTCCCTGCAAGGCTGGCAGCCTGGGCCACAGAGAGGGCAGGGAAGGAGAGGGAAAATCTAAGAACACAAAACCGGAGCAGCCCAGCCAGAACTAAGCAGCGATTTCTCTAGTTTTAGGTAAAAGTAACACTAGTTTTTTGTGTGGGTATTTACTGTAGCACTACAGAACCCTAATTAGCTGCCTGTTTAATGACAGCAAAGTCACCATGTGTGCACATGCGCACAGGGCATCAGGGATTGAACCAGGGGCTTTGTACTGAGCTACATATCTGGCCCTTTTTTCTTTTGGGACCAAGGTATTAATTGAATTGCTAAGTTGTCCAGTTTGGGCTTAAATTGGTGACCCTCCTGTCCCAGCCTCCCAGACTGCTGAGATTTCTGGTATGATCACACTTGGCTTCATGTATTTTCTGAATAAAGGCTAATGGCCATGTAAGAGGTTACTTCTGATTTAGGTGTGGAAAGTAACTTCCTAACTGAGCTATAAGGTCTTTGCTGCCTGGACTGCAGGCTTGCCAGGGGCAGAGAATTCCTTCACTCATGCTGTTTTGGGCTGGTGTGAGCTCCTTGCAGCTCACTGGCTGGTCTCTTCCTTCCCATCCCTCGGCAGGTCTCCTGAGTTATCTCATGACTGCGAATGCTGGTTTCCCTTATTAAATGATTGATTGTTCCAGGGATCCAACTCACAACCTTGCACTTGCCGGACAAGTGCTGCTGACAGGCTATGCTGTATGTGTTGCAACTGGTCACACAGGGAATACACTGTCGGGAAGCAAGGGCCACTGGAGGCCATTGTGGAGGCTGCCATATGGGCTACAAAACCTCCAAAGTGTCCATATTCTGTGGAAAATGTAAGGGTAACCTAAACTGGGTGTGTAGTGTGGTGGCGCACACTTATAATCCAAGCACTCAGAAGCTGAGGCAGGACTGCCATGAGTTCAAGGTTAGCCTTGGCTACAGAGTGGGTTTAAGGCCAGCCTGAATTACATAGCAAGACTCTTGTCTCAAAAAAATAAACTTGGTGCAGTAGTGGCCCAAGTCTATAATCCTGGTACTCTGAGAGGCCGAGACAGGAAGATTCAATGTTTCAGCCCAGCAAGACAATGTAGTCAGACATCTGAAAACATAAAGGTCTGGGCTCAATCTCCAGTACTGGGGGGAAAAGGGGTACTTAAGGGGTAGTTTTAAAGTTTGGGAAATTGTTTTTAGAGTAAGAAAACCGAAGAGACTGCCAGTCTTAACACTATAGTTTTTCTTAGTCCATATCTGCAGGTGAGAAAACAAAAAAAAAAAAACACTAGTCTTTCTCCATTGCCCCTCAGCACTCTTTAGTCTCTTTACCTCTCCATGGAGTGCTTTTAACAGAGGGATAGTTTACCAATGGAAGAAACTGAAATAATAATTTAGGTCCTCATTTGTGAATGTTAACATTTATTTGAAGTATGGACTACACCCAAGTCCAAGGGCTGCTAGTCATGACAAAATGGAGTTTTTTTAGAAAAGAATTACCTAAGCCGGGTGTGGTGGTGGGTACATGCCATAATCCCAGTTTATGGGAGGCTGAGACAGGCCACAGGTTTGAGGCCAACCTGGACTCTACAGTGAATTGAAGGTCAGCTTCAACTATAGCAAGACTGTCTCAAAAAATAATCAGCTGGAAAGTATGGTGCACTGATGTCCAGAGAAAAGAGAAATTTCTAATATATATATATATATATATATATATATATATATATAGAAAAATAAAGCTGTACACAGTTGTCACAAGCTGCAGAGGGAAAACTGCCTAGTTTTTGATTAGGGAGGTATGCATTTAGGTATGTATGCATTTAATGAAGGAATTTTACCCTCAGATGTAGACTAGATTCAATTGACTTAAGCGAAAAGTGTATAAAACCATTATCTTGAAAACAATGCTAAGATTAAACTGGAGATACCACAAAAAAACATAAGGCAATAATACTTTTTTTTTTTAAAGGAATAAAGCTTGAAACTTGACCAAAGCTATTTTATTGCTAACAGTTTACCATTTCATAATAATGGCTGCCCCACTTGTGGAAAATTTGTAGACATTTGTATAAACTATTTGCGTAGACTTTGAGCTAAAGTAACACTTGTCTCCGACCTTATTAAAATGTTCTATTCAGTACCAGAAACACTAAACTATACAGTGCTAAAATTATGCGCAGTATTGCAAAACACGAAGGTATTTTAAGAAACGTCAGTCCCAGCTAAACAGACCAAGTGGAGGCCGAACCTGGAGACGTCCTGCTCCTGCACTCTGGAAACAAATGGGTCCTGGACTCCAACTCCCGGAAACGCGGCGGACCCTCTGCCCACAGCGGGCCAAGGAGCAAATCTATATTCACAAAGCGCCTACTTACTCTATCGCCCACCCAGCACCCTTTTTTGGGAACAAGGTCTCACTAAAGTAGTCCAGTTGGCCAGTCTGGGCTCCAACTTAAGATACTGCTGCCTCAAGCATCCACAGTGCTGGTATTACAGGCGTGTGCTACCACGTCCCCAACTCCTGAATCGTTTTCATGAGGTTGAGACAGGCCTATCTGTCGCCGAGCTGGGCATTTAATTTGCCTCCGCGGCCAGGTTCAGAGCGGTGGGCGAGGAGATGCAGGCCTCGTCCCTAGGGCAGCACAGCTGGGCCCGCGCCCTGAAAGGCGCCAAGGCTGGAGCGTCCCTGCCCTCGGACGCCGCAGCCAGGTCCAGCGCACATCTCCCAGCTCCCCAAACAGGTGAACAGGGCCCCTAATCCGTGTGGCTATTTAGATGGAGGTAGCTCAAGCGCTCCCACCTTCCTCTGCGGTCACCCGAGGACGGGAGAGGCTGTGCTGGATCGAGTCAGAACACTGAAGTGCGGACAGAGCCCCGCTACCCGAGCGCCAGCCGGACACACTAGCGGAACTGGCCAAGAAAGCCTGCAGAGGGCGGAGCGTGGGGCGGGGCTTCCCGGCATGCAGCGCGACTCCTGGCTTCCGGCCGTGGGCGGTGCGGGGGTTGGCGGCCGGAAGCCGGATGAGCCGGCTTCGCAGAGCACTGCCAGCACTTCCGGGGGCCTGGAATCTGGCGCTAGTGTCTTCCCGGTAGGCGGCGCGGGAGCCCAGAGATTTGAGGGTCCAGGTCGGGCGGTTCCCCACCTCCCCTTCATGTGAGCAGTTTCCTGAAACACCGTCAGCGAAGGGCTGCGGAGAGTGCGGGACCGGTGGCCGGGCCGGGAACATGAGGCAGCGTCTCTTTTTCCTGGCCAGTTTGGTTCCTCTCGTGCTGGCGCCGCGACCCCCGGACGTGTCGGGCTCCGGCTCCCACCAGCGACTCGGTGAGGGCTGGGTATGGAGGGGCGCAGGGCCGGGGTCGGCGCCGTCGGGGGTCGGACGGGGTGGTGGCGGCCGCAGCCGCCCAGGTCTCGCGCGGGAGGGGGTGTGGCGCTCCGCGCGGCGAGGCCGTGGGGGGGGGCGCTGAAATCGGGTTTGAGTTTCTGGGGCGCTTGAGGACGAAGTGACGGGTGGGGTTGGCCCGTGCTTGCAGAGGCAGATGTGGTCCAGGTCCCTGCCTTGCTGAGAAGTCCGTCTGGTGTGTTTTGTGTTCCTCTGGCTCCGAGGGGTGGGTAGTTTGTGTTGGGAAGCACTTAGCCCGGGAGGCGGTGGCTGCCGCGGCCTCACAAGGCGCACTCTACCCGGATCTGGAGTCTTGAATTTGGGTTTTGGGTTTTGCGATTTTCCACAGCACTTAGTTATTTAAATTGTGCTCCCCCCCCCCCGGTGGTGTTGGTACTGGGGATTGAAGTGTTCTATTCCTGAGTTATAGCTCCTGCCCCTTTTGTTTTTTTATTTTGAGATAGGGTCTCGCTAAATTGTCCAGGCGGGACATGGATCTGTCAACTTCCTGCCTCAGCCTCCCAAAGTTCTGGAATGGCAGATGTGCACCCACGGGCCCAGCAGGTGTAGCTTATGGAAAGGGATTGATGGGGAGGCTGAAAACCTAGCAGGCTAACCAAGGCTGTCATGTAAAAGCTTTTCCTGTAAACAAAGCTTTTCTTTTAAACAAAGAAATTATCACGGCGAACAATTTGAATCAGAAAACAGGGTTCTTGCTAGATTTTTCTAGAGAGATTGTATGTTGCCGGGTAGCACACGTGAGATGTGAAGTCTGGCGGAAGTTAGTGTGAATTTAATGGTGTATCGTAGTGTTGTTGGTCTTTTAGAAGTTGACAGATAAGATTGCTTGGTTAATCAGTAATAAAATATGAACGTTTTATCTAGGGTGTGAAGTTGAGGTCTGGTCATTTTACTTCGTTGTTCTGGTCACCAAATCTCTCCACGGGTCCATGTACTGTTGCAGGTGGAGAGTTTGTACGATTTCTTTACGGCTAGTTAACATTTTTGCATTAGCTGCCTGGCAAGTTTTGTTTTAAGTTAATGGATAGAAAAGAGTAACCGACAGCCCGTTAAGTGTTAAGTGTTCATATCTGAGTAACTGCTATCTTGTTACTTTAAAACGGATTATGAGTGGGTGGTTTAAAGGAAGGGAAGGAAAGCAGTTAGAAAGTGCTGAGATGTCATGGAGGGCAAATTTTGAAGTAAGGCTGAGCATGATGGATAGGCTAAGGATCGGCTTCATGTTAAAGATAAATGTTAGTAAAAAGAGTAAGCATGTACTTTGAGATAGTGCATATTATCACCACTTTAACTTTTTTCTGTTTCGCAGATGAGAAAACCAGGCATGAATCATAAAGACAGGTACATTGTAGAGGAAAAAAAAAAAACCCATTACTTTCTAGGTTGATTCTTACCAACATTTGCGGGTTGTAAAGTTTTTTGACAGTGTTCTGTTTAAGAAAGTGCCCAGTTGTGGTGACACATACCTGTAATCCTGGCACTGACTGAGGCAGGAGGATCCCTATGAGTCCAAGACCATCCTAGTTTACACAGCAAGACCCAGTCTCAGGAAATCAAAAATAAACAAACAAATAAAAATTAGGAAAGTGAGACTATTGGTGCCAGAAACATGCATATTTTTTAAAATTTTTTTATTTTTTGTCTTTTTCATTTTTATCGGTACCAGGGATCGAACTCACGACCGCCTGCTTGCAAGGCAGGTGCTTATGCTGCTGAGCTAAACTCCCAGCCCCCAGAAACATGCATAGAGTTACCCATTTATTCATTCAAATATTTGAACTCATATTGTCTGCTAGCTATTATTTGTGACATTGGGCATACAAAAATGAGACGAGACTCATTTTTTAAAGTTTATGGCCTGATGGAATAGAGACCCTTACAGAGGTCTAAATAGACATTTCTTATACAACATGGGAGCTGGGCGTGATGGTGCACTCCTGTATTCTCAGCCCTTGGGAGATTGAGGCAAGAGGATCACTGTGAGTTTGAGGCCAGCCTGAACTGCATAGTAAAACCCTGTCCCCTGAAAAAGACCAAATAAATAAATAAAACATGGAAGACAGAGCGGGGTGTGGTGATGCACGCCTGTGATTCCAGCCCTCGGGTGGCTGAGGCTGGAGGATCCTACCAAGTTCAAGACCAGCCTGGGCTACAAAATGAGCACATGGCCAGCCTAAACTGCATAGTGTGATGTGATCCTGTCTCAAAAAGACCAAAAAAAAAAAAAGAGAGAGAAACAGTATGAGGTCACATGATGGCAGATATTGTAGTATGTGGCCACTGGATGTGTCTGGGAAGGTATTGAAGGCTTTCCGGGGGAGGTGATACTCCAGGCGTTAAGGCTAGGTAGGTGAAGAGGGAAAATGAGGGCACCTCTGACTGCTGAAGGAAGGGAAGAGACTTTGTCACTTAGCTTAACCCTGCCTTTATTTAGATTGAGTGGTCGAGACAGACCATGGTTCATAGTTAAAGAGTGTAGTTTATTATGTGTTATCCTACTTGTCCTGCAGATGTCATATACCTAATCAATATGACATTATGATTACATTTTTCTGAAGTACAAATATGTATTTTTAATTTTTTTGGTATGGGGAATTGAATTCATGACCTTATGCTTGCTGGGCAGGCACTTAACACCCCCTAGCTAAATAAACCCTCTGGCCTATTTTTAATTTTTACATATGAAACAGAAGCCTGGCTTTTGGAGTACTCTGCAGGTCACCCCCAAATTATTTTATCTGAACTGTTATGAATTGCATAATTTAGGAAAGTTCTGAGTCATGTGAGCTTAGTCACGATGATATCTTGTTGAAGTTGCAGCTGGGGTGTATAAGTCTCACTTTGATTTCAAAACTGTTTTCCCTTTGAGTTACTTTTAATCAAAGAGGATGTAATGGTTTGAAGGAAAAAATATAAGTCACAGGTGAGTATGAGCATTTGTACTTGCAGTGTGTATTTTGAAATTTACCGCGGGTTTATCGGCATGGGGGTTCTCTATAGAAGAGGGAGGTTTCTTTGTGGTACTAGAGATCTGGATCTGATCCGAGTGTGGGCTGCCTCAGCACTACAACCCTAGATCTCTGGGACAGGCTCTGGCTAAATTGCCAGGGCTGGCTTTGAGGTCGATATCCTCCTTCCTCCACTGAACTTACAGGTGTGTGCCACCATGCCCAGCTCATTTCTCAGGACTTTGACCTTCGGCCTTCTCACATTAAAGGAATTTTTTTGTCCTAGGAATTGAATTTAGGACAGGCAGGTGCTGTGCTGCTGATCAGTATTCCTGGCCCTTTTCATAGTAGTTTTGCTTATAAGCTGTAGTTTTTTGAAACCTAGACATCCCCTCACCCCAACCGCTGCAGGGGAGAGTCCTGTAACCCGCTTTGCGTTAGTCACAGTGATCCATTGTAGCTTTAGGCTGAGTGAAGACCTAAGCAGAGAGTCGTGGTGGTAACTAATTGGAGGGAGCCTTGGCTTTCACAGGATTTCCTGAACAGTATGCCTTGGTGTCCTGAGGCCCTTGATTTTAGGATCCTTCAGCCTTTGTATCATGAGAGTTGGTCATTTGAAGAAGTCTGACAGGGTTACCGGGAAGGGGCATAGGAATAGGCTTCAAGGAGACAGGGAGGTGACACAAGGGCTGTTCAGATTCTCTAGGTCTCCTGTCCCTAAAATCTGCCACTGTGGTAGAAGCGCTCCCTCCCCTGCTCACTGCTTTTTCCTATCTTAGCGTAAGTTATAGACTCAGTTTCACCTGCTGCCCTGGTTTCCCTTACTCTCTTAGTGAGTACTTTCACAGCCCTGGGGACAGTTCTGCCTGCAACTGTACATGTACATGTGTGTGCTTATGTATACCCCTGATCACCCTCCCATCCCTGGGGACCGTTCTGTGTACAGCTGTACATATATGTGCTTATATACCCCCCAGATTACTCTCCTATCACTGGGGACAGTTCTGTGTACAACTGTATGTGTATATATACACATACATGTATATATGTATGTATGTGTATATACACACTTATATGCACCCCAAAATCATATACACATTTTTTTGGACATTACTGAGGATTGAATCCTAGATTGCTCTATCACTGAGCTATGTTGTGGTCCTTTATATTTTGAAATGGGATCTCACTATGTTGACCTCAAGTTTATAGTCCTCCTGCCTCAGCTTTCTGCATAGCTGAGATTATAGGCCTATGTCACCATGCCTGGCTGTACCCACTTTTCTAAAGTTCAAGGCTGGTCATTGTAGTAGAGTCAGTGGCCGTGAAAACTCGCCCCAGAGACACAGCACTTCAGGTGTGAAGAGAAGGTGGAGTGGAGTTGTGTCAACTCTTTCTATAGGTATCTGAACCACTGTAGCCAGTGGGGCAGTTGAGCAGCAAGCCTGAAGGTCTCTCTGTTCTTCCAGAACGCTTAAAAAGAACAAAGTGGCCAGGTATGGTGGTGCACCTGTAATCCTAGCTCTTTGGAAAGCTGAGGCAGGAGGATTGCTGTGTGTTTGAGGCCAGCCTGGGCTACATATTGAGTTCAGGACTGACCAGCAGGACTGTCCAGCTTGAGACATTGCAGGGCCTTGCGTCCAAAAAAAAAAAAAGGCAATATATCAGCTGCTTTTCCTCACTGGTGTGAGTGCTAAGCCTCATGGCACAGCGGAACGTGGGTTTGCTCTTCACCAGCCTGGCCTCCTAGTGTGGTTTACCAGTAACCCAGCTGTGGCCCTCTGTGGACTTGTTGCACGGAGCCCTCCCTGGGTAAGGGCACTGTAGTTGCCAATTGTAAAGTAATGGGGTGGAACATGGGCCTTCATGCCTTCATCAGCCCCTGCCCGAGGTTTTCCACTGCGCACTCAGCAGCTAAGCCCCCAGTTTCCCTCCGGCCCGTTCTCCACACTGAGGTGACCAGGAAATCTGTGACTTGCAGTTGTTCCCTCCCTCTCTGGATTCCACTTGCCGCCCTGCATGCTGGCCTCTCCAGCTTCATGCAGTCATATTCTTGTGTTGTATTGTCCTCACTCTTTCTGATACTGAGGATTATAACCAGGGCCTTCACACTGAGCTACATCCCCAACCTGTTTTAGTTTTAATTTTGAGACAGGTATTGCTGAGTTGCTCAGTTTCCCAGGATGGGCTCAAATTTGCCGTCCCACCTCAGCTTCCCAGGGTGTTAGGATTACAGGTGTACCACACCACACCTGGCTCTCCAGGCTGTGCTCCCCTGCAGCCCCACTGCCTTGCTCTGACTTCTGAGTACCCTGCTACTCTGTGTAGCAGTCTCCCTTCTCTCCCCCGCTTGGCCCCACTCACCCTGGGAAGGCACTCCTGACTGTGTGGTAGCACCCCCTCCCTGTTGGGTTGGTCCATAACTCATTGCAGCTTTCCCCTCCACAGGTGACACACTGTGTGTGTGGTGGCCTCTTCTGGTGTCACAGCCCTGCCAGCAGCTTGGTGGCACTGTATGCTGACTGTGCTGAGCTCTGCCACAGGCAGCTGGTGGTCTCTGCCTGCTTGAACCTGAGGCCTCACGCATGCAGGCCTGTGTATGTGTGAGAGGGATTTGGAAACTCGGGGTGGGCATAGAGGAGTTAGGGGTCTGGTACATGAGGTGCAGAGCACTGCACTTGGCTGCAGCTAGAGCGTGGGAAGTGCCGTGAGGGCCGAGTTTGAGCAGGGCAGTCTGAGCCAGGGCCGTGGTTTGGAGAGAGCACTGCAAAGGGCTCTGCAGAGAACTGCTTTTACTGGAGTGTTTGTGATGGCTTTGGGGCATCCACTTTGGGGCATGTGGTTATTAAAGGAGAATAAATTGCAGTGGAAACACATTAAAGTATTTTAAAGTGTGTTAGTGAGCTGCATTTAAAAAGTGCTTATTATAGAAAACACCCAGAATAACCAGTGATGTTACTTATGCCCTTATGGTTTTTCTAGACCTATTTTTATCCATAGCTAAGATCATGTAACATGAATAGTTTTAGGTCATCCTTTGTTTACTTAACATTATAACATTAATATTTTCCCTTTTCTTGTGGTGGTGGTATTAGGGATTGAGCCCTTCACACTGAGCTCCATCTCAACCCCTTAAAAAAATTTTTTTTTTTCTGTGACTCCGCTATCTCTCTATGAGGTTGCCACAACCACAGGCCATGTGCCATGTGCTTTGCCTGCGTGTGCCATGCTGTTCACACTTCGGGTGCATGGGAACTGCCCAAGAGGCGCCCACACAGAGGCTGAGGCAAGGTGATTGCAGGTTGGGACCCCTGGTGGTGCGGGGCTGCGGAGACTGCACTCTGAGAACCCAGCCTGTGTTGGCATCGTGAGACTGGGGCTGTTTCCAAGCCAGGAGGAGTGATTATAATCTTGAATGAAACCAAGATCGTGTAGCAACCTGTATGGGGCAGTGAGGTGCTCAGGGATGGGCTTGGCTTAGAGGACTTGCAGCTTGGGAACGTGTGTGCCTGTAGGGGCATGGTTCCGGCTCAGTGTTGGGAGGTGAAGATGCCATGGCAAGCAAAACAGTCCTCCTTTTCCTATTTGTGAGACAAGCAAGACCGTGCACACAGAAAAAGAGGGACAAAGGGCTTTGAAATTCGGAGCCGGGGAGGCTGTTTGGTTGAGGTGTAGGAGACCAATTAGAATGTCCAGAAGAGTTACACTGTTTAACTGGGTGATTGATTAAACTGGGGACATTGCCCTTGCCAGGTAAGTGCTGTGCTGTCCTGAATCCGCAGCCCTGGCTGATATTTTTGAGAGAGGGGCTCCCTGTGTAGTCTAGATGGGCCTTGAGCTTCAGTGATCCTCCTGCACCCTAAGATTACAGATGTTTTCAGGGACTTTCACAGTTGTCACATCAGTAAAGAGGGAGCATTTCATTTCATTTGTTAACAAAAAGCAAAGATGGCTTTATTTGTGAGATTTGCTGTCACTTTATTTCCCCTTGTTTGGTTTAGAACCCTGGACGGACCTGTATTGAGCTTCCCGAGACTGCGGTGTGTTTGTACCCTGCTTGCTTCTGCTTTGCTTGTTGTGTGTGACAGTGAAGAAGTGTGCCGTCTCTGACTGCTTTGCAGCAACTGTCCATCCCGTGTGGCTTCAGCCCTCGAATGCCCACAGTGTCGGTATTCTTGGGCGCTGCCTCCTGGCTGTGTTTTGGTGCTTGGACATGGTGCCTGGCTTGCATCCCTGATGAATTAGTGAATGCACTGATCAAGGGAATATGGGGAAAGGCAGGGAGAAAACGAATGGGTTGATCTCTTTTCAAAAATTACTTTTAATTTTTTTACTGACAATCAATGTAATGCTTATTGGATGATTCCTTTAATACTTTCTGTAGCATATTTTATGTCAGAAGCATGTATTTTAAACTCCTGCTGCTGTATTTTGAGAATGCAGAATGGTTCGGAATACCACTGCTTCTGCAGTATTTGTGGCAGAGAAAGAGCATCAGCGCAGATACGTATACACTTTGTAAAGAGACTTGAGTCACCAATATTTTCTAAAATTCCTAATTTTGGAGGCAGCAGCAGAGTTACTATTGATGCAGAAAGATTTATAAGTACTGTTTAGTGTATCTGTTACTATAATTACTCTTGCTCTGGGCCAAATAAAAACGTCCTGGTTTGGGGTGTGGTGGCATTTACCTGTATGAGCTACTTGGGAGGCTGAGGCAAGATGATTGCAGGTTGGGACCCAGCTTAGACCCCATATCAATGACTGGGGTTGTAGCTCAGTGGTTGAGCACCTGCTTGAATAGGTAAGGCCCCAAATTCAATCCTGGTGGGGAAGGAAATCCTTATTTGTATGTTTCAGGATTTGAGGCCCATGCTGTTCACACTTTGGGTGTGTGGGAACCTCCTGGGAGGCGCCCACACAGACTGCGGGACCCCTGGTGGTGTGGGGCTTGTTTTTCCTTGGTGATTATTTCACCGAAATACTTGGTACTGAGTTTTTTCTAGGGATTAGTTTGGTCTTCCCAAGTGTATTTCCTGATGTCAGTAGAGTGCTACACCGAGTGTCTGTTAGAGCAGCATTGACAGGCTACATCCCTGATGAATTAGTGAATGCACTGATCAAGGGAATATGGGGAAAGGCAGGGTTAGGCTACCTTCTCTCTAATTTGGAATGCATGTTTTTGTGAGGGAGGCATGCTTTACAGCTGTGCTCTCCCAGGAGTTCTTACCACGTGCTCAGTGAGGGCCCAGTCAGCCCCACATTGGCCATGGAAAGTTCCAGTCAGCCACTTTGACTTCAAAGTTCTAGACAGGCAGGCAGACTGCCTTCTACCTGAAGTCGGCTCACTGGGAACTGCGGGTGCTCAGTGCTCTTGGCATTTCTCTGATTGGCCCATGTGGCTTCCTGATCTCGGAGAGGGCCACTCTCAACCTGCTGGCTGCCCCAGAAATTTAGGAATGAGTTGAGGAATAAAGGCAGTTAAGAGTAGGAAGAGTTTGGGCTGGCTTTAGCCCAGTGGTTCCTTCTAGTCTGGCTTCCCAACCGCCCCGGCCCATTAGTCCGGTGGTTCGAGACCCGCAGGCGCTCTCCAGTCCTTTAAAAAAAAAAAAGAGTAGGAAGAGTTTACCGAGAGAAAGAAAGCTTTTAAAGACAGGCAAAAGGGGGGCCCAGACAGAATGTGACACACAGACTCTGCTTCTCAAGGGTGTTTACTGAGCAAACCCAGAGGTGAGGCAGGTGTGAGGTGTACACAACTATAACCAGTCAGCAAAAATTACAAGTACAGTTAGCTTAGGTAACATTGACCTGTGGGAAATCACAGGTGGGTATGAGGTGGGGCAAGACTATTGTGAACCAGTAAGGTTACAACAAGTATAGTTGCCTGGGTAAGATTTATAAAGGGGGAAGCAAGTCCCATGGCCCACTAGTGCGTAAGGTAGAACAAGGCCTTTTCTGGAAGAGGTGGTCCTCACCCTGGGTGATGGATGTCTGTTCAGCATAACAGTCACTATTGTTCCTCCCTAGGGAAAGAATATGCATGAGTAATGTCTCTCTTCCCGAAGCCTGGCTCTCAGTGAATGCACTGCTGGCCACTGTTGTCATCCTCACTGACCTCTGGGCCCAGCCCTGTCTAATGCCTGCAGTATTTCTAAATAACCTGGCTGCCGATAGCATTCCCACAGTGACCTCCTTCAGCCTGGGCGCCCTAATGATTCACAGGTGTGATCTTGCTGGATTCTCTTCTCTCTGACCCTCCCTTCTTTCCCAGCCGATTACTTCCTTAAGAAACTGGGTCATCTGTTCTGCAGGATTTCTGCATTCTGGGTGTGGCTGATGGCTTCCTCTAGTTGTTTGACCTGGCGTCCTCTAATCTCTTTTGAGTCCTGAGAACTGGAATTTAAATCCTCTTTAGATTCAGGTTCTTTTTTTGGGAGGGGACAGAATTGGGTCTGGTGCTGTAAGGACTGACCTTAAACTCTGTAGCCCAGGCTGACCTGGAACCCCCCAAGGTGATCCTCTTGCCTCAGCCTCCTGAGTGCTGGGCTTACAGTTGTGCCCCACCATGCCTGACTCAGGTTCATTTTTTAAATCGGAACATTTTAGTGGTTAAGCTGGGATCCGGTGCTTCACAGTGTGTTAGGTCAGGGAATGCTGATCATCTGGCCTGCTCCTGCTGGTGATGTTACAACTGATTCTTGGACTGGGTGCTTATGATCTTTTTGTCTTTATTTCAGAGGGATTGGATTCTTTGCTCTCAAATTACGAAGTTCTCTCTGTGTCTAGTATCCAACAGCATTCGGTAAGGAAAAGAGATCTTCAGGCTTCAACGCGTTTAGAAACCTTGCTGACATTTTCAGCTCTGAGAAGGTAACTTGGGTTATTCATAGTGTAATCTTGGGGCAGTGAGGGATTGGTATGGGAAAAGCTGAACAAAAGGGTATCTACTGAAATCTGGGAAATTGTTCCTTAAAAGATTTATAATTCATGTAATTCCAGTGTGTCATAATAAAGTATTGCATACTGTAAATTCTGTACAGATATTTTCTAAAAAGTAAATGGGGGCTGGGGGATTTAGCTCAGCGGCATAAGCGCCTGCCTTGCAAGCAAGCAGTCGTGACCTGGTTCCGATAAAAACGAAAAAGACAAAAAAAAAAGTAAATGTGTACTTCATTTGATGGAATGGTGATAACTAGTGACAGCAAAGGATAGTATGTATTAATGATGATAATGTTTATTTAATTCTAACAAAAGAATTTTAACTGAGTGCTGTAATACCTTTTTGGTGCTATTTGAGGCACTGAGGGTCTAAAATTTAATTTTTTTTCCTCTTTGAGTTCTTTATAACATGAATTGACTGAGGTGGTCTCATAGGACAGTAACTTCAGTATCACTCAGAAATTTCTCAAATTTAATTCTGCTTGATAATTGCATGCTTCATTCTAAAGTTTTTAAAGGAAGCTTCACTAGGCAAGTCGTAAATGCACTGAAGAAATTTTCATTTATTTAAGACAGGCCTTTATCACATTAAAAAATCAGTATGTGCACCTAGCATAAAAGCCAAATTGACTGGGGGCACGGTGTAGCTCAGAGGTGCAGTGTGTGCCTAGTGTGGGCAAGTTGTTCCAGTTGCATCCCCAGCTACAAAGAATAAAACAAACTAGGGCCGGGCATGGAGGGGTGGGCACCCAAAATCCCAGTGCTTGGGAGCTTCTGGATCCTTGCTGTGGGGCACATACTTCCTTGTTCCTTGACCCTTAATTCTCTTTTGTTCTTAGAGATGACATTCATTCATGAAGGAAATATTAAATAATACCATCCCTCTTCCCTCTGTGTAAGAAGACATGAAAATTTGAAATTTGTTTTGCAGAGTTTCAGTCTTAAATATTTTTTTTTTCATATCCTCCTGTATTCTTTTATTGTTTTGGGTAATGGGGATTGAACTCATGACCTCGCACTTGCCAGGCAGGGGCTTACCCCACTGAGCTAAACCATCAGTCCCAATCTTAAATATTTAATGGGAAATGTATATAATAATTCATGAGAATTTTGTCATGGGTGCTTTTCAGTGTGTTTTTTCATCCAACCCTCAAGCCAATGTGTCAATAGGTGACATTTTCCTCATCTGTGAATGAACTTAGGGTCAGAGATAGAGGCCCAGGTCAAAGAACAAGTGGCAGAGGTAGGATCAGAGCCAGGACTTGGCAGATTCCAAGTCTGTCATATTGTGTTACTGAAGTTTTAAAAAAGTGTAAACTGAGTAGCTGAAACAGCCTCCCCTTCATGGAGCTGCCGCCTTTTTTTTTTTTTTTTTTTTTGTGGGGTTGTTCCTTGTTTGGGAGTGATGACTGAGTAGAAAGAGTCTTCTGAATAGCACCGTCAGGTGGAATCTGTAAACCAGGACTACACAGAACTCGAATGTGACCATTAGAGGCCAAAAACCTGTATGAGTTGTAATTTTGTAAAAAAAGGAAACTTAAAATTTTCCTTACAAATATGTCCTCTTTTTTTTTTTTTTTTTTTTTGTCTTTTTTGTTTTTTATCGGTACCAGGGATCAAACTCACGACCGCCTGCTTGCAAGGCAGGTGCTTATGCCACTGAGCTAAATCCCCAGCCCCAAAATATGTCCTCTTTAATATGAATCAAGATATACTCTAAAGGAATGAAAACACTGCAAATAATGTTTTGATACTTTTTTTTTCTTTTTATCGGTACCGGGGATCAAACTCACGACCGCCTGTTTGCAAGGCAGGTGCTTGTGCTGCTGAGCTAAATCTCCAGCCCCTTGATACTTTTTTGATGTCATCAGAATTTGTTTTTGAGAAAGTTATTAAGTGTTTTTCCTAAAAGTAAAATCTGAGATTCTTCGAGGGCTGAAATTGATAAGGAAATAAAAATAATATACTTGACAGAATGGGCCTTTAAAAATAGGAAAATGTTAATTCTGACTGATGAGCCTTAGTCTGTTGTCCCTGTAAATTCATAAATCAAAATCAGAAAGTTAAATAAGTCAGTGAATGGATGGCTTTACATAATTTGGGGGTATAAAGTACTATAAATTTTGACTGGCATATCCTGTTGGAGATTTTATAGCTTAAAAGCTAAGATTGGAAACTTTAAAAATGTAAGTCTTCCCATTGCTGGGTCTTTATTTGTACCGTGGAGCCGATCCCTTCCCCTCTCCGGAACCCAGGGCCCCTGTGCTGCAGCAGGCAGCTGCTGAGGAGCTATAGCCCGGTCCTGGAGTGGCTGCTTAGTGCAGAAATGCACAGGGCAGTTCCGGGACTGCCGTAGGACAAAAATTAAAAATAATATCAGTTTGGCACTGAATCAAGACTGGCAGATTTCTAAAGCTATTGGTTTCAAGCAGGAGCCTAAGGTGGTATCTTTCTGTGGTCTCTTGGCCATTTCAGAACTTTAGATATGTAGTGGTCAGATTGTTAGAAAAAATATCATGACTCATAGCTAAAAAGTAAGATATTTGTAATAGGAATCCTCTTCTTTTCAAAGTTCTCAGCATAACTAAAATGTGAAAGAATTGTTTCTGAGAATGAGGAAAACAGGAGAAAATGTTTCAATGATATATGAAAAAGCACTTTGTTGTGTTTTTTCCCCTCTGACCATTAAAAAACCGGGAGCAAACTAAAATTACCATGTATGCTCAGAAGTTAAAAATATTGTTGTCATGGAAACAGTCCCCCCCCAGATTTCTTCCTGGGTGGTTTGAAGACTTGTGCACACCCATGAGGAAGTAGCCTTTCTCCCTTACAACACCATAGCTGATGGAGTCAAGCGCCCTCCTCTCTCTTCAGTGTTTATGGGTGCAGTGAAAGGGCTCGCTTAGGAAATAGTAGGTGAAGAAATCGGACTCACTACACCCAGTTTCTAGGTTGTAATGGAAAGGCATAGAAAACAAAAAGATAGTAAACCATCCAGAGACAGCCAGTGTGTATTTTATTGTCTGCATTGGAGATTGTGTTTATTTTTCTAATTGCTAGCTGGACTCATTTTTTTTTTCATAATTCTTAGAGAGGAGAAGGCATATGAATACTTTTAAATATAGAAATGAGCGGTAAGAATTTTCCCATATATCACTCGGCTTGACTGCTAGTGGTAGCACAGCCAGGCTTTATTAAATAACCCAGGTTCCATCTTCACTTTACCGTTTACTAGCTGTGTGGCCTTCAGTATGTTGATTGACTAAGACTCAGCTTTTAGTTGCGTTAGAGATGACGTAACCATAAGTAGTTGGTCAGTTAATGGTGTGTGACAGTGTTGGCCTTTCATATTCACTATCTGAGACAGGCAGGGCAACTTCATCTAGCCAGATGTGTGTGTGCTTCCTCATTACTTAGAGTTTCCAGGAAAGAGACTGTATCAGCTCTTTGAATCCTTTCACCAGTATTAGTTTCTTTGGCTTGCAAAGTTTTTATAGCTAAACAGATTAGTCCTTTTGTCTTTACAAGAGGTAGTATTTTGCTCCATGTACTTAGTGAAACCTTATTTATAACTTGTACAGTGCTTTATTAATGTTAGCTCTTCTATATTTTTAAGAAAATTTAATTAAATGAAAATTAAGGGTAAGAAAATTAGGGGTCTCATAATACTTCTCAGATGAAGAAATACAAGTAGCAAATAAATGTGGAAAAATGTTTAGCATCATTGGTCATTTGAGACATGCAAATTAAAACTGAAGTTCTGTCTCACTCTGAAAATAAATTGACCAATAACAAATTCTGGCAGAGCTGTTGGGAAAAAGAAATCCTTCTCCACTGTTGGTGGGAGTGTAGACTGGTGCAACCAGTATGGAGATTCCTAGAAAAAAACTAAGATTGGGGGTTCCATTTGACCCAGCTATTTTCCTTCTGGGTATCTTCCCCAGGAGAACTTAAAACATACCACAGTGATATATGTGTATTCATGTTTATAGCAGCACAATTTGTAATAGCCAGATCTTGGAAACAACAAACATGCCTGCAAACTGAGGAATGGATTAAAAAAAAAAGTGTGGCATTTTTATACAGTGGAGTAGTATTTCACTATAAAGGGTGAACTTCAGACTTTTATAGTAAACTGATGCCACTTGTAATCATACTCATAAGTGAAATAAACCAGTCACATGTGCAAACATCATATTGTCTCTCTAATGTGAGAAACTGAAAGAATAAATAAGATTCAAAATGCACAATAGATATTGTAAAATGTAAAACTATTCAAAAGAGGAAAACTGGGATGGGGAAAGGAGAAAAGAAGGAAAAAGGAAAAAATACACATGATAGTTAAGATAGAAATGCCACTAATTTCTCTTAGTGCATCAAAAAGAAAGATTTGTGCTAATATATATCTTGTACTCTGAGTAATTTAAAGGCAATATGCAGTATACTAGCCAAGGTTACTCCCCTATGATCTTGTTTTGAAATTTTTTTGTTTTGTGTTTGTTTTTTTTTTTTTTGTATCGGGATCGAACTCACAACCTCACACTTACCAAGCAGGCACTTGTGCCACTGAGCCATATCCCCAGTGGAAATTTTTTTTCCCTCTTTAAGATAAAAAATTAGGAGTGTCTTTTGTGTGCTGTTTGTGACATCTGCAGGTGTTCTCTCTAGGCATTTTAAATTATACCTGACATCAAGTACTGAGCGCTTTTCGCAGAACTTTAAAGTGGTGGTGGTGGACGGCGAGGTGGAACACGAGCACATGGTGAAGTGGCAGGATTTCTTCAGCGGCCATGTGGTCGGTGAGTGTGCGGCTTGGCTGGGCCTCTGCCTGGCTCCAAGTCCAAGGCCGTGGCTGAGTCTTCCTGGGCTGGTGGCCCAGGGGTGTCCTGCTGTTGTGGTTGCAGCTGAGCGGTGTGAACCTGGAAGCGCGAGGCTCTCACAGATGGATGTGTGCTTGCTCTGTTGTGTTGTGCTCACAGGTGCTTTGCTGGTTAAAGTTGTTTCCTCTGTCATGACAAACATTTAACTGCCTCTTATCCGCAAGCTGGGGTTGTAGGCTTCCCTTAGGAGATTCTAACCAGGGAAAGTAGAAAGTAAAAGTAATTACCTCTGTGATCTAGTACATATTTCTTTGGGAAAATGTGTCAGAAAAGCCATTATAGCTTGCTTTTAGGAAGTGTTATGCAGTAAGAAAAAAGAAATGGTGTCAAAGTCTCCAAATAGTATAGTTCAAGACCCGCATATTCCACATCGTGTCCTTGTGACCCAGAGTCCGGGAGGCTGCTCCCCAGGAAGGTAGGCGGTATTGCTGGGCTGAGCCTTAGTTCTCTGTCCTCAGCTCAGAATCACACCTTTCCACACCTTGGTTCCTTGGTGCGGAGCTCAGGACCAAGGCCAGTTCCAGTCTGAGGAGGACTTAGTGGATTTTTCTTGCCAATGGCATGTAGTTACATAGTTTATTAGCTATTTTTGATGAAAAATCTGTTTTTATTGTCTCAGGTGAGCCTGACTCTAGGGTCCTGGCCCACATAGGAGATGATGATGTTACAATAAGGATAAACACAGATGGGGTGGAGTACAACATAGAGGTAAGTGCATCGGCACAGTATTCTCCCGTCACTTAGCCACGGTTTAGATCTGTTTTGTTTTGTTTCGTTTCGTTTTGAGGCAGAGTCTCATTCTAGTTCAGGCTGGCTTGGAACTTGTTTATCCTGGGCTGTCCTTGAACTCAGAATCCTCCGTTCAACCTGCAGGTGCTAGGGTTACAGGTGTGTACCACCACTATTGGTTTGTCTCTGATTTTTAACAGAGTTTTCAGTTTAGATGGCAAAGGTGAAACATTTCTTTTTGTATATAAGACATTTAATCAGGAAAATAGATGACTGAATTTTTTTCTTAATCTCTAAGAAGCTCGTTAAGATGCAGTCTACATTTTTTTTATTGTATTGTTTTTGAGACAGGATTTTGCTATGTAGTTCAGGTGCCTTTGAGCTCACTATGTAGCCTCGGCTGGTTTTGAACTGGGGGTGAGCCTCCTGCCACCATACCCACTCTATTTTTCTTTTAAAAAATAGTGGCAAAATTTCACATTAAAGGCAGAAAAAAACAGGGTAAGAGAAAAATGGGCTCTGCAGAGCAAGTTTGGGCTGAGTGAACAGGGTGGAAAAATAAAACACCTGCTAGTGTGGGGAGTCGTGATAGCTGCATGTGCATTTCTGAAAGCCGCAGCCAAGCGAGGCACAGTGGGAGGAAGGTGGGTGCAGGTAAGTAGGTGAGCAGGTAGATAGACTGTACTTGCTAGGGTAGGGAAATAGGCTGTCACTGGCTAACGTAATGGCATGTTTGCTCTGTTGCTATTTTTTCCTCAATCATTTATAAATATCATGACACTTCACCTCTAAGTATTTAAGTTTTTGTATATCCTAAAAATAAAGCCATTTTCCTACATGGCCATAATGAAAGTAACACTTGAAAAAGTGAAAATATGGGGCTGGGGATTTAGCTCAGCGGCATAAGCGCCTGCCTTGCAAGCAGGCAGTCGTGAGTTCGATCCCCAGTACCGATAAAAAGACCAAAAAAAAAAAAAGTGAAAATAGTTGTATAGTTTTGGCTAATAGTCAATCCATAGTCAAATTACACAATCTCCTCCACAGATCTGTTTGTTTGTTTGTTAGGCTTTCCAATCCAGGATCTAGTCCAGCCTCTTGGCTTTTACTGAATTATTTATCAGGCGATTTGTTTCCCCTAGTAACTTAATAGTAGTGGTAGTAATAGGATTAGCTTTCACTGGTGTGGTGACTGCCTCCTGATTGAAATCTGAGCATGTAAACGGGTGAGCAAGTTCAGTGCTGACATGCCTTCCCTCTGAGGGCAGTCTGGCATGCAGGCGGACTTCTCCAGGCCACAGCAGGCAAAGGTACATTTGGATCTCAGGTATCTGAGCCCAAATGCTTCTGTCTCTCTCTGTGTCAGTCTGGGAGTTCCAGGAAACTATGTAAATTTTGTAGTCTTGATCCAAAAGGGAAAAAATTGCCTTTAGTACTCTCCAGGCCCAGTGAGCTTTACTAAGTGGAAGATGCCTGCAGCTCAGGAGTTGGTTACTTTCTGAAGTCTCTGCTAGCCCAGAGATTGTTAGCCATTGTTTCTTACTCCTGCTGTGTGGATTCTGAACAGAGATAACCTGTAGTGTCTGTGATGGTGTAGAAGCCATCTACATGCAGTAGAAACTGCTTTGGACTACGCTGCAGTATGTGCAATCAGCTTTAGCCCAGGTTGTTATTTTTCATTTTGAGAGAGGATGTTACTAAGTTCCCTGGGCTGGGCTTGAACCTGAGATTCCCCTGCCTCCTGAGCAACTGAGATTATGGGTATGCAGCACTGTACTCTGTTTTGTCTAGCTTTTATTACAGTGTCATAGTGCCAGTATGCAGAAGGCATTATGTAAATCTTTAAATGAATTAATGGAAGAAGGCATTTTTCTCTTCTGAATATTCTGTAAGATTTCCTCATGCAGAGTGATGCTTTTTCATATATAGATAAAATCATAAGTGTATCAACTATGAGTTAATTTACCAGCATAGCGAACACTTTATGATAAAAATGGAAATAATTTATTTGGGATAAAATATCCCATCACTTTACAGAACAAGGAATGAACGTTGTCTAAGGATAAAGCATCATCTAAGCATCATCAGGACTTTTTAAGGGTTGTTATTTTTTTCATTTCATCACACATATTTTATGTTCTAGCCACTCTGGAGATTTGTTAATGATACAAAAGACAAAAGAATGCTAGCTTACAGATCGGAAGACATCAAGAATGTCTCACGCTTGCAGTCTCCCAAAGTATGTGGTTATGTGAAAGTGGATGATGGAGAGCTGATTCCGAAAGGGCTGATAGACACAGAGCCGCCTGAAGGTGAGTTGTGCAAACTGTATTCCAGTAAGGGACAGTGTGGGACAGTGGACTGCAGTGGGAGTAGTTGTTAATTGGTAAAAAATAACATGATTATCAAGTAACTGTAATATTTGGTTTGAAAAGTTTTATTCCAGAAATTCTTTTGTTGTTGTTGTTGTTGTTGTTGTTTTTGTCTTTTTGAGACAGGGTCTTGCTGGGCAGTTCAGGGTGGCCTTCAGCTCACTTTGTAGCCTAGGCTGGTCTCAAACTTGAACTTGCAACAATCCTCCTGCCTCAGCCTCCCAAGTGCTGGGATTACAGGTGTGAGCCACCACGCCTGGCCAGAAATTCTTAATAATTTTTATAATGTAAGAATTTGTGTTAAACACTAACATAATGGGAGCAACAATAATTGGACCTAGAAGGATACTGGGAAGATTGAATGATTTCAGGGGAAATTTTTTACTAGCAGGTATTTAGAAATGCCAAACTAATACTGCTAGTCAGTCTTTAGAGCTTATAAGGAAAAATTCGAGTAGTGAATGCTATACTGTTTGGACATAAAAGTTATCTGTCTTAGGACAGATTTATTTAAAAAAAAATTTTGTGGGCTGGGGATTTAGTTCAGAGGCATAAGTGCCTGCTTGACAAGTACAGGGTCACTCGGTACCAAAAGCAAAAGAAAAGTAAATTTTGTTTTGTTTTCAAATCCTTTTTATTTTAAGGAGAAAAGAAAAATTTCAAAATGTGTCAGTCAGGGCAGCAATAATACATGCATTACACATTGTCACCTCTAAATCATTCACCGTGGGCACAAGACATCTGGATTGGGTGGGACAGATCTGTTTAAAGTCATTTAGAAAGTAGCTGTTTTGGAGAGGTCGCTCACTGTAATTATTTTTCAATTTGTTTTTAAGGAGCCAGGATTGCACTGTGTTTGAGGCAGACCTTGAACTCCTGCCTCAGTCTTCTGAGTAGCTGTGACCACAAGTGTGTGCCAGCCTAGCCTGGCTTCAGCTGTCCTTATTCTTGAAAACCTTAGAAAGTACTTCTAGTGTAGATAAACTCACATGGTTGGTTTTTTTTTTTTTTTCTTTTTTTTTTTTTTCCTGTATTTTCTTTCCAAATCCATTTTATTTCAAGAAGAAAAAACTAAAACAAAATTTCAGAATACTCAAATCAGGGGGCAGCAATGGTACATATATTATACATTGTCATTCCCAACTCATTCTCCCAAGGGCATAAGACATCTGCATTCAGTTGTCCAAATAATAACAGCACAAATCATTCGCTTCAGTGAACTCAGAGAAATCAGTCAGTAGTGTAACTATCTTAACTATTTTTTATACACTATACATACACATATATTGTTTCTTTCAACTTCTCACTCTGAGACAATATGTTTATACATGTGTGTCTTATTTATCTCACTAATGAGTTATGTTCAAGATGCACCCATTTACCTTATAAAAGTCTCCAGTTTATCCTCCTTTATGGCTGAGTGTGGAGGATGAAGAGTTACTCTGAGACTCTGGCCCCCTCCTGACCTGCAGTAAACAATAGCCCCCGGTATGCAGGACAGAGACGGGACGGGAAGGCCGGCACCCAGTGTGGGAAAATGTTCCCCCCTCTAACTCATACTGTGTGACTTGGCTTTGTTTGCAGAGTCATGGGGAGATGGCCAACCTTCAGGTGGCTAGAAAGAACAAACATAAATTAAGAGCACTCTTGAGCTAATTGGAGTGCATTCTTGGGCTAATTGGATTCCTCCTGGGTTAGTGTGGCTAGAAGAACTGTTTTTGCTTGTTTAACTTAGAGAGTAGAGATAAACGTTGTAGTTGGTCACAAATCTTGTTACAAAGAATGCTTTTTCAAGATAATTGCCTGGGCTCTGTTTTACTATATAGGAGCCCTTGAATAAAGACTTAGTGTGCAGTTGCAATCTCTGTTTCTCTCTGCTTCTTCTCTGCGCTGCTCCCCCCGTGTCCCGATCTTAGTGTGTGAGTTTGAGCCTCTTCCTGGGATCCCGAGTGCACTAGACACTTGTGACAGCTGAGTACTACTTCATTGTATAAAAAAGCCACATCCTTTGTATTCATTCCTCAATCAGTAGGCATTTAGGTTGTTTTCAAGATCTGGCTATTACAAATTGTGCTGCTATAAACGTAAGTGCACATAATATCACTGTAATATGATGTTTTTAATTCTTCTGGGAAGATACCCAGAAGGCAAATAGCTGGGTTGAATGAGACCTCTAGTCCTAGTTTTTTGAAGAATCTCCATACTGATTTCTACAGTGGCCCCACCAGTCTACACTCCCACCAACAGTGAAAAAGGGTTCCTTTTCCCCCACAGCCTCACCAGCATTTGTTACTGCTTGATTTTTTTTTTTTTTTTTTTTTTTTTTGTCTTTTTGAGACAGAGTCTTGCTGTGAAGTTCAGACTGGGCTGGCCTTAAGCTCAATTTGTAGTCCAGTCTGGTCTTGAACTTGTAATGATTCTCCTGCCTCAGCCTCGTGAGTGCTGAGATTACAGGCATGCACCACCAACACCCAGCTTGATCTCTTGATAGTAGCCATTCTTTCTGGAATGAGGTGGAATCCTAGTGTTGCTTTAATTTGTATCTATTAAATGACCAGGAATGTCGAATATTTTTTCATGTATTTATTTGCTATTTATATTTCTTCATCTGAGAAGTATGTATTCATTTCAGATGCCCATTTTTGGATTGGATCTTTAAATCTTAGAGGACTGATGTTTTTAAGCTCTTTATATGTTTTCAATAATGATCTTTTGTCTGAGGAATAGCTGGCTAACATTTTCTCCCACACTGTGGGTCGTCTCTTTACTTTATTGTTGATTTCTCTTGTTGTGCAAAAGTTTTTCAGTAGGGTGAGATCCCAGTTGTTGATTCTTTGTGATATTTCCTGTGAAGTTGGAGTTTTGTTCATAAAGCCTTTGCCTATACCATTATCTTCAAGCATTTTACCTACTCCATCTTCCAGCAGATTTAATGTTTCTGTTTTAATATTAAGATCTTTGGTTGATTCTGATTTTAGCTTAGTACATGGTGAAAGATGTGGCTCTAGTTTTAATCTTAGCATGTGTAGAGCCAGTTTCTCCAGCACCATTTACTTAAGAGGCTATCTTTCTTCCAGTGGTTGTGTTTGGCACCTTTGTCTAAGATAAGGTGGCTTAGAGTGTTCGGAATTGGTTTTTCTGATCTGTTTCATTGATCTTCGGGTCCGTTTTTTTGCCAGTACCATTCTGTTTTTACCACACTGCTTTATAGTATAATTTCAAGTCAGGGATTAGATAAATTCATAAATGGTTTCATTATTTACTTATTCAGAAAGCTGTCCTGGGCTTGGTGATTGATCTCCAGCCTAGCAAAGTGGAGCCCCTAGGTTTGGTGTCCAGCACTATGGACAGCTGGCAGATACCCTGATGACACATGCAGTCTTTGGGCTTCTGTGTGTGACAGAGATAGGTTTGTCATTGTGTGCACAGCTCCACAAAGTGTGTTGTTAGCCCTGCTGCTGTTGCTTGGCAGCATCCCCAGCCTGGCAAAAGAGCCACATGCAGGTAAGTATAACTCTGCCTTGCACATGGACTTATGTGGATGGCTGTGTGCACCCCTGCTTCTTATGCAACGATGTGTGTGCCCCACCGAGTGGAGGGCAGATGCCTCCACGTGCAGGCCTGCCATCTTCATCATCTGTTACCTTGGTTTCTGCTCTTTTTCACTGATTTAGAGCCTTCTGGAAGTGACTGACTGCTTGAGAGCCAGGTAACAGACAGTTAGTTTACTCTGCTCAGGACTTGCTTCTGTTCTGCTTCACAGTTCTGGGAAACCAAGCTCAGGCCTGTGGTTTGAGCCCTGTATTAGTGGTATTTGTTTCTTGCAGTGCCGGGGACTGAACCGTGGGCTTCGTGTGTGCTCCCCAGGCTGGCTCTCTACCCCTGAGCCACACTCCAGCCTCTTGTACTTTAAGAGAAGATCTTGCTGTGTCACCTGGCAGTTGCTGTCATCCTGTGTCAGCCTCTCCTGTCCCCTGCAGGTTACTTTCTTTCAGGATCACTTTTGAGGGTGCTAGACTTAAGTCATGTTTGTTTCAGAACACTGCTAGATGTAAAGTGTTGATGTAAAAAGCTCTCGTCTTGATGAATCTTGATTTAACTGTGTAAAAATTCATATTAGAGTCTGTCCATCGGGTGAAGAGAAAGGCTGAGCCGGATCCCATGAAGAACACATGTAAGCTCCTGGTGGTCGCAGATCATCGCTTCTACAAATACATGGGCCGTGGGGAAGAGAGTACCACCACCAACTACCTGGTGAGTGTTGGTGGTGCACCACCAGCCTGCGGCTGCCTGGCAGCCCTGTCTCCGGTTGGGAAAACCTTATTTTGCTGTGGAAGTAATACTCTCTACATAATGGGGTTTTTGTATTTGGTTGGGGCAGTCATGATGTCCTCTGTTTGTACAAATGAACCCTGTAACAGCATCAGTTTTAAGGAGCCATGAACATGAGGTGTACATGTGAGCCCGTGTGAGCCTTTCTGCACACGTATGTATGCTTCACATGTTGGTTTGGTCCACGTCCTATTCAAGAGCTGATCATAGAGTGTGATCATGATTGTACTCTGTGAACTCTGTGAACTGGAAAAGGAACAATTCGAGAAGGGTGGGCAGTGGGCTGCTTTGGGGATGTTGGGGGTTCAGGTCCAGGCCTCATCGTGCCAGGCACATGTCCTCGCCCAGAGCTGGGCCCAGCCTGGCACTGGCATTCTGGCATGGTGGTTACAGGTTCTCAGGTCAAGGCGGTCATTTTTCACTGACACTTTGTTAGCGTGACCTCATTTGTCATGAGAACTTGGCACTCAGCTAAATATTACTCAGGGAGTAAAAGAGAAAGCAGCTATTGACACAGGCAGCCTGAGGCAGGGAGTGCCTTTCTGTGGCCACCTCCTGTCCTCCCCATCTCCCTCGCCCCCAGCCTGGCTCCTGCCTGCCCACTGTTGTGGAGTGAATTTATTGTGGGCATAGTGCACGTCTTTGTGACCCTCGTTCCTAAGAGGAGGGGTTCTTTCTGGAAAATGCTTCTCAGCCCTGGACTCCTACGAGGGTTTTTTTCTTATTGTGTTTCTTTGTTCATTACACCATGAATATGGGAAAAGTGCACTTAATTGTGAGCAAAGAGTTAATTTCTTTAAAAAAAAAATAGTGATACAAAATTTCAAACCAAGGTTATAGTGGAGTCACAATTGCTAGTACATTGTATATTGTTGTCTTCAAAGTAGTTACTTAGGGGCTGGGGATTTAGCTCAGTGGCATATGCACCTGCCTTGCAAGTGTGTGCCTTGCAAGTGTGTGGTCATGAGTTCGATCCCCAGTACCAATAAAAAAGCAAAAGACCAAAAAAAAAAAAAAAACAATGTAGTTACTCATATTACCAATTTCTTTTCCTTTTTGTTTGTTTTTTTTTGAGCTAGGGTCTCACCATGTGGTCTAGGCTGGCTTCAAACTCATGGCAATGCTCCTGCCTCAGCCTCCCAAGTGCTGGGATTACAGGCATGTTAGACCCATGACTTCATAATCATTGGAACAAACTTCTTCAACCTGATTTTGGGTGGGGGAGGTTGAGACAGAATCTTGCCGTATAGTTCAAGCTGGTCTTGAAATGACAGTCTTTCTGTCTCAGCCTTCTAAGTGCTAGGATTACAGGTGTGTGCTAGCACCCCCAGCTTCAACCCAGCATTTTTTCCTCCTTTTTCAATTTATTTTTTTAGCCGAGGTTTGAACAGTGGAATATGCTGTTTGAAGAACAGAGCGTAATTAGCATTTTGCTCTTTCCGTGCTGTGACTTGATAGCCCCATCCCCCATCCTCCCAGTCCCAGAGTAGATGGTGGCACAGTGAGCCTCATTCTCTACCGCCTCACCTGTCCTGAGACCAGGCTTCGAGTGAGCCTGGGGACAGGGGCTGTGCCGGGAAGTCATCGAGGTGTGCGTCAAGAAACAGTGCAGACAGATTGCTCCTTAGGACATTTTCTAGGAAAACTGACTGACTTAAATTTTCCTTGCATAGCTGACTGAAATGGCTGTTGTAAAATACCCTAATACGGGCATTTTGGTTCTATATACGGTTGAGTATCTGAAATTTTGGGTAAATTGCCCCATTGTTTTATTCTGGTTACACTTGAAGACTGAAACTAGGAATAATTTCTTTGGTGGAACCATCAGCAATACAGATTAACATCTTAAGGGCAGTTATAATCTGAGGAAACTTGCAATGGCGTTTTCTTTTAACAAGAGTTTTTATCCCTGTAGATGTATCACATATAACAGTGGTTATGCATGTCTTTTTGTTTTCTGCACACAGATAGAGCTCATTGACAGAGTTGATGACATCTATCGGAATACTTCGTGGGACAATGCGGGTTTTAAAGGTTATGGAATACAGATAGAGCAGGTATTTATCAAGAGAAAAGGCCCTGTGTTACTTGGCAGATTTGTGTGACTTAAAATCAAATATTGACCTTTGACATTGAGAATAAATAACAATTCTCAAATGGCAGTGATTGTTTTCTAGTAAAGTGCGTGGTATTTTTGCATCTACTTAGTCCTAGATTTATGGAGTTTTGTGCCTGTTTTAGGTAGAAAGTCCTGTAAGGCTGCTGTGTGGCCCACTTATCCCCTGTAATGGTTTTCTTCTCTCTGACTGTACTTCAGTCTTCATTAAAATCCTTGGCAACTGGAATGTGTCTCAGTGGTAGAGTGATTGCCTGGCATTCGTAAGACTGGGTTAGATCCCTAGCACCAAAAAAGAAAAAATCCTAGCATGTTGTTGGATTATTACTAAAAAGATTTACTCAAAAATACTGCATAAGGCATTTTATATATACAGAACCACTAGAACATTTTCTAAATTCCTCCTCCTCATTCCTTGTGAGCTGTTAATGTTGTCAGCAATGTTGTAATATCTAGTGGTAGCTCATAGTAAAAATTGTTCGAAATTGTTAAATCTAAAGACACTGTTCTAAAATTGAGAATTGCTTTGGACAAACAGACATTTTGATGTGTAAATCACTGAATTATTTGAATTATAGCTTATTATAGGCTCTTTGCACTAAATCATATTCTTATAGGTTGTATAGAATAGAATTTAGGGCTAAAAAATTTGTTTTGCCCCTGCCAGCTGTGGTGGCACACACCTGTAATCCCAGCACTGAGGAGCCTCAGACAGGAGGATCACTAAGGGTTCAAGGCCAGCCTGGGATATATAATAAGACTGCCTCAAAAAACCAAACCCACCCCAAAATCTTATATCATGTAACTTTCTAGTTAAGTGTTAAACTTTGATAGTACTGAAGAATAAGAGAATGATTTTTCCCTTTTTCGTTTTTTTTTTTTCTTTTCTTTTTTTTTTTTTTCCTGTTTTGTGTTTCCTTTAAGTTACCATTTGAATAGGTAATACTTACACAGTACAAAAACCAGTGAAAAGTAAGTCTCTATAACTTCTGTCTATTGTCAAACCAGGTCCTTTTTCTAGGGATATCTGCATCACTAGTTTCATGTGTCTCTTTCAGAGATGGTGTGTATATGTGTGAGTCCGTGTCAGACACAGTTGTGTGGCTGTACCGTATGTGCCGTCTGCATTCCACAGTGTGTTGCTGTTCATTCCATGTTGATGCATGCATCCAAGATGGCCTGGTATATCTGAAATAGCCACGGCATGTTCCGGGGGCTTAGGGGCCAATTAGAACTTGGAACCAATTGAGGAACATAGGAATGATGTAGGAGATTAGCATCACCTTCTGTAACCCACAGGAGAGGAATTGGAGGATGTGCTATGGTGTGTGGTCACTCATCTCCCAGTTGTCTTGGTCCCTTTCAGAGTGCCCCCAAGCTTACCTGAATGGTCATGCAGACGGGGCTGGGCCCCATGCAGAGCTGGGAGGCTGGGGGTGGGGAGAGTGAGACAGTCTTCTCCAGATTCCTTGCTTGAGGTCTCAGCAGGGCTCGTGCAATTACCCACAATGCCGCCAGCGGGGAAGCCCCCACTTAGGACACTTTGTCCCTGTATGGCCAAGCGAGGACATCTTTTTTTTTTTTTTTTTTTTGTCTTTCTCGTTTTTATCGGTACCAGGGATTGAACTCACGACTGCCTGCTTGAAGGCAGGCGCTTATGCCGCTGAGCTAAATCCCCAGCCCCTTAAGCGAGGACATCTTAAATTATTGACTCTAACTGTAGGATTTAAGCCTCACCCAACCCAAGTAGTAGTACACAGATAAGGACATGAAGACAATGTGTGTAACTCACTTATGAGCGTGCTCTTCATGATAAGCGTTTGTTTTAATCAGTGAATGTTAGGAATGAATTATTCACAGAATTGTGGTCTGCAGCACTTTTTCTAGACTGGTAAATGGTCTTGTTTTGAACAGGTATTAGTCTCCCAGCCCTCTTGGAGATGTTCTCAGTGTGTTGTCTCTTTAAGTATAGATCCGCATTCTCAAGTCTCCGCAAGAGGTGAGGCCTGGGGAGAGGCACTACAACATGGCGAAGAGCTACCCGGATGAGGACAAGGACGCATGGGATGTGAAGACATTGCTGGAGGTGGGTGGGGTTGACTGCGCCGCACGGGTATTGTCTGCAGTGGTGCAGGGAACCCAGAGCCCCAGGTTAAAGAGGTGGCAGGTGCTGCAAGGAGTGCGAACGAGGAGTGGTGAGCAAGGAGTATGTACGAGTTTGTGAGGTGTGTGGAGAGAGCAAGAATGAGTGAGGATTATGAAGGAGGAGTGTGTGAGCGGGTGAGGAGTGTGAGCGAGGAGTGTGAAGGGTGAGTGAGGAGTATGTGAATGAGCATGAGGAGTGTGAGCAAGAGCGAGGATGAGTGAGGAGTAAGCAATGTGTGAGCAAGTGATGAGTGTGAACGAGGAATGTGCAAGTGTGAGCAGGGTGGTATGAATGAGGTGTGAGTGTGTAAGCAAATATGTGAGTGAAGAGAAGGGTGAGCAAGAGTGAGGAGTGTGAAGAGTGTAAGTGTGAGTGAGAGTGGAATATGAGTGAGAATGTTAGAGTGAGGTGAAAGAGGAGTGCATGAGCGAGTGAGGAAGGAGCGGATGAGTGAGTGAGGAACGTGTGAGTGTAAGCAAGTGAGTGTGAGTGAGCAAGTTGAGAGCGAGGACTGCGTGAGGTGAGCAAGGAGTACAAACAGTGAGCGAGTGTTAGTGTGAGCAGTGCGTGAGCAGTGTGAGCCAGGTAAGGTGTGAGTGCAGAATGTGAGGAGTGTGAGTGAGGAAAGAGGAGTGGAGTGTGTAAGCAAGTGTGAACGGAGTATGAGCAAGGAGTGTGAGGCATGTGAGCGAGGTTTTGTGAGTATAGTGATGAGTGGGAGCGAGGACTGACCTGTGAGCAAGGTGTGGGAGTGAGCTAGGACTGAGGAGTGTGAACATGGAGTGTATGAGCAGTTTTGAGCAAGGGGTGTGAGCGAGGACTGAGGAGTGCAAACGAGTGTAGAGTGTGAGCGAGAGGAATGAGGAGCAAGAAGTGAGCAGGAGTTGTGAGCAGGGAGGAATGTTAGCAAGGAGTGAGGAGTCTGAGTGAGAGTTGAGTGTTGTAAGGAGAGGACCTAGGGACAAGTGTGTGAGCAAGTGTGAGCGAGCAGGGACTGAGTAAGCAGGGTGAGTGTGAGCAAGGAGTGAGAAGTAGTGAGTGAGGACTGGAGTGAGCGAGAAGTGTGGGAGGACTAGGGAGTGAACAAGAAGTCGAGCGGGATGTGGAGAGTGGAGCAAGGAGTGTGTCAGTGAGGAGAGCAAGTGTGTGAGCAAGGAGTATGAATGAGGAGTGAGCAAAGTGAGGAGTGTGAGCGAGGAGTGTGTGCCACTAAGGAGTGTGAGTATGTGAGGAGTGTGCAGGGAGTGAGCAAAGTGAGTGAAGAGTATGTGAGCAAGGAATGTCAGAACAGTGAGGTGTGAGGAGTGTGAGCGAGTGAGAGGACTTTATGAGGGAGGATTGTAAATGAGTAGTGTAAGTGAGGAGTGGGAGAGAGTGGGAGCCAGGAGTGCAAACAGTGTGCAAGCGAGCATGTGAGTGGAGTGTGAGCAAGGAGCAAGTTTGAGGGAGGAGTGTGTGAGCAAAGACAAAGAGTGAGCAAATAATGAGTGATGAATGAGTAGCTGGTGCGTGAGCAAGGAGTGTGAGGAGTGTGATAATGGGCAAGACTGAGTACAAGTGACTGAGCAAGTGGAGTGTGAGGAAGTGTGCAAGGAGTGAGCGAGGAATGATGTGAGATCTGAGCAAGGGAGCATATGTGAGCGTGAGGAGTGAGCAAGGAGTGCAGAGTGAGCGAGAGTAAGTGGGTGAGCAAGTGTGAGTGAGGAGTGAACAAGTGTAAGTGCAAAATGAGCACGGAGTGAGCAAGGAGCGAAGGTAGTGTGTACAAGTGAGTGGAGTGTGTGAGCGAGGAGTGAGCATGTGGAATGTGATGAGCAAGCAGTGTGTGAGCGAGAGGAATGTGAGTGAGGAGAGCGAGTGGGGAGTGTGTGAGCGTGCAGGGGCTGTGTGTGCAGATACCTGCCTCGCTGGGCTCCGAGCGACCCCTGGCCGCTGGCCTGAGGGCGCTGCCACCCCTGGCCGTGCTGCCCTGGATTTGCTCTCCTGGGATGGCGACTCTGCCCCGCCACCCTGCTGCTGGCCCCGGCTGCTCTGATCCGATCGCGAACACTTCCTGTTTCTTAAAGCAATTTAGCTTCGACATAGCTGAGGAAGCGTCAAAGGTCTGCCTGGCCCATCTTTTCACGTACCAGGATTTTGACATGGGGACACTGGGACTGGCCTACGTGGGCTCCCCCAGAGCAAACAGTCACGGAGGCGTCTGCCCGAAGGGTAAGTGCCAGAGTCGGTAGGGCCCCGGGCGGCAGCTGCTGCAGGGCCCTGGTCAGTAAGCGGTTTTGGCCTCTGTTTTCTTTGTTTGCAGCTTATTATAGTCCTGTTGGGAGGAAAAATATCTATTTGAATAGTGGGCTGACGAGCACGAAGAATTATGGAAAAACCATCCTGACTAAGGTACATCTTTTGGGTTTTTTTAAAAAAATAAAGATTTAGGGCTGGGGATTTAGCTCAGCAGCATAAGCATCTGCCTTGCAAGCAGGCAGTCGTGAGTTCGATCCCTGGTACCAATAAAAATGAAAAAGACAAAAAAAATTAAAAAAAAATAAAGATTTGGAGTTTATTGTACCAGAATCTCAGTTATTACTTACATAGGTATCATTTATAAAGTCAGTATGCAGCTCTTATGATTTCTGCTGAAATGCACGTTTTCTGTGAGAAATATAAGAATTAGAGAAAAGTTGGAGGGGACGCAGAGGAGCCCAAAGCTTTCCTGCTTGCGCTTGGCTGGGCTCCCTGGGCCCGGGCCCCCAGGTGCTACCCTAGCGGGTCCCACCGCACCCAGGATCCCAAATCTTTCTTGCGCATCGTGCACCGGCACCCCATGGGTAGCAGCGGCTTTCTCACTTTCTGTGCTTGCTCTGCTCCAGCCACCTTCAGGGCTGGGCTCCCGTGGGCCACTTTTTGCGCTGTGGTTGCCCCCTGAGGTGGAAATCACAGTGAGGCACAGACCTGCACGCAGGAGAGGCACGGCTGCCTGTCCACCGTGGGAGTGAAGGGGGGAGCTCATGGAGGAGGCTGAGGCAGGGTAGCAGGCCTGACTGGACCCCACCAAAGGGATGCTCAGGGCACACAGGTTAACAGAAGTAGTGAGCACTTCTTCCCAGTCTCACCCATTAGATATTTGCAAACTGGATACAGTGCATATGCTGCGAGAGGTAGGTGCAGTTGGCTCGGGAAACTGAGGCAGGAGGGTTGCTTGAGATCGAGAGGTGGAGGCCAGACTGGGCAGCATGGCGAGATCCCATCCCCACACAAGTAATGTCAGGTGTCTGTCAGATGAACCATGCAGGGTGCACTGGGTGTGGCTGCAGATGGGAAGGTGGTGTAGGAAGAAAAGACCACTGCGAAGTCTTGGGCCATGATGCAGCATGTCCTGTGTGCCGCTCGTAATGCTGCCATTCATGAGGAGTTTCATTTACTCTTCCAGAATTTTCTCTCAAAGCACAGGGTTAAAAATTCACTTTGAAGTTTTTGAGATACTTTTACAGTGCCAGACTATTATACTCTGCTATTGAATTTTTTCCAGGGCATACTTAGAAATTTACTTCTCCACATTACACCATTGGGATATGAGTATTTCTGCTAACAATTCCAAATTTCTTCCACTGCCATTTTAATATGGATGTGGAAACACTTCAGGACTCTGGCTTTGAGAAAGCAGTGTTTCCAGGAACTGGGAATCTTCCTGTGTAGAGACATGGCTTGTAATTACCAAGTTTTCATGTCTTATGCAAGCAGGACTCCTTTAATTATCTTATTCAGATAAATACCATAAATTTAACCTTCCTGGCTAAATTCATTATTATGTTTGGGTGGAAATCTGGTGAGCTGATCAAAGTACAGCTCACCGCTAGATTCCCAAACTCAGCCCTGGCCATGGGTGCTGTTACTAAGCGGACGCCAGTCACCCCCTTGGTTTGGCTTCTTTACTCTTTGGGGTTTCTCTCTGCTGAGGGTACATGGGAAAGTTGAGCCCCAGGCGCTGCTCACAGGCTTCTCGGTATATGTGATTGAAGTAGCTGGGGTGTGGCTTTGTGACAGCATTTTGTGAGTTCTGTTGACTTGACTTGAATTCATCCGTGCCGTGACTTCAGAGGAGTCACAAGCATGATTGTACCAATGCGTTGAGTTCTGTCAATGGCGAGTGATGTTGTGATCCAGCTGTGCTCCTGTTACCTGTGAAACTCTGCGGCCTGGTCCATGATGGCTAATGTGCTTTCTGCACGGACCCTAAGGAAGCGGACCTGGTCACCACTCACGAACTGGGGCACAACTTCGGAGCGGAACACGACCCTGATGGCCTACCTGAGTGTGCGCCGACAGAGGACCAGGGTGGGAAGTATGTGATGTATCCCATCGCTGTGAGCGGCGACCATGAGAACAACAAGGTAAGCCAAGGAGCTCCCTCCGGGCATGAGGAGGGGCCACTAGTGCCGGAAGTGTCCTTATGATGGGATCTGCTGGAAATGAAGCCCCTGGGTATGTGATTCCGGTGTGGAAGAGTCCATGTCCTCTCACTCGCACTCCTGGTGCTTTGAGACTGGGTCTCGCTGTGTATCTGGGGCAGCCTGGAAGTCTCACCATGTGGCCAGCCTGGCCTTGAACTTGTGGCAGACCAGGATGTATTAAAAATTACCTGTTGTTTGGTTTATAATTTGCTGTTCACATTAACCTTGCAGCCCTTCACACACCGCACATCTCCACTGACTGCTGGAACCCAACGAAACCCTGTATGTGCCAGAACCACCTGAGCACAGCACAGGTCCCTGTGGGCGGCTTATACCCACCCATGTCTCGAAGGCACACTGACCCTCAAAGGATTCAGTCCTGATTGGGATTGAGCGGGGAGGGAGCGTCAGTGCTGTTCCTGCTGGGCCGCCCTCTCACCTGCTTCCTGTCATCTTTGAGTGTTGCATCTCACGTTGTTCAGCTGCCTTGGGACAACTGTCTGTTGCTGTCTTGCATGGTGGAGTACATTGCAGTTCTCCCCTATCCCTGTCCCTTTGTCCTCCTCCCAGCGGCTCTGCACATCACTGTGTGCTGGCTGCGGGACTCGGACGGGGAGGGATCTGGGGGGCTCTGTTGCACTGTAGCCACCGGCCATCTGTGGCCATGCAGACTGACATGCTGGCCTGCGGTGTAGATGCGGGTGTGTGTAGACTGCGCAGTGGGACCTCCCCACCAAAGGACAGAGCCTTGCTGGCGTCTGCACTGCCCTCTGCCACCGAGGCACTTCCTCCCCAAATGGCGGAGTCTGGCTGGGCTGGGCCCTGGGCTGTGGAGGAAGGTGTGGAGCCAGCCTGCCATGTGTGCGAAATCGCTGTCACAGTGCTTCATAGATGTGTGGCTGGTGGCCACTGTGTTGGATGTGGCCTGCAGTGGAGAGCTGCAGTTGGCACTCCCCTCTGTCCATGGCTCTTCTTTGGGGCCACACAGAGCTGCCGGCCCTGCAGTGGGGGACAGTGTTCCTGCAGGTGACCAGTGAGGGGAGTGGTTGGGGCAGGAGTGAGGGCCGAGAGGGACCTAAGTGCAGAGGGTGTGAGCAGAAGTGACCTAGTGTGTGAAGGAAGAGCTCCCCTGCCGCCTGGGCTCTCCCTGGAGGTCTCCTTCCATACATTGTTGCCTGTTTTCGTGGAGGCCGGGCCAGCGTACCTGGGTGTGACACTGGGACAGCCCTCTGCTGTCTTGCTCATGCTGGTACATTCTGCCCTGAGAGTGATGACCTCAGTCCCCCTGCTGACAGTGTGGGTGATCTGGAAAGGGAGTGCAAAAGGCCATGCTGACACCGCATTAGGAGGCTGGGGACACAGGTCACTACCAGAGAGTTTGCCAGCATTTACTGCCCTGGCCCTGAGGTGGCATTAGTGACCACTGAGGATTTAAACATGCTGTGGGTGACACTGAGTGCCCTGCTGAGCTCTGACACTCAGAAACTTCAGACTGGGGTCACTGACCTAGCGCATAGGGTGTAGCACGCCAGCCTATGACCTGAGATTCAAAAGTCACAGGTTCAAACCCGGCCCATGTGACAGCAGCTTGGCAAGAGCCTGTGTCGGGATAAATGGCGTGGGGACTCAGACCCTGGACCCACATACTTGGGCATTGGGGGGCCACGGGCATTCTGGGCCTTGGAGCCACCTGGATGGGCCTGGGGCTAGGGTCATGGGCATCATGTCCTCTGGATGCCTGTCCTGGATGAACGGCACCACTGGTCTCTGTACAAAGACTTCCAGGTCCCTAACCGAGGTCCCTGCAGCTAGTTAGTGGCCTGCAGTGCACTTGATTCTGTATTAGTGGCCTTGGGTGACCTGGCCACTCGACAGGGCTCTTGGTGGCATTCACAGTGGCAACTGGGCTGTCACCCTTCCCCGCAGATGTTCTCCAACTGCAGCAAGCAGTCCATCTACAAGACCATCGAGAGCAAGGCCCCCGAGTGCTTCCAGGAGCGCAGCAACAGAGTGTGCGGAAACTCTCGGGTGGACGCGGGGGAGGAGTGTGACCCCGGCATCCTGTACCTCAGCAACGACACCTGCTGCAACAGTGACTGCACGCTCAAGCCGGGTGTGCAGTGCAGGTGAGCGCGGGAAGGTGCAGGTGGGCATGTGAGTAAGCCTACTGCCCCGCTCCCGCTCCCACATTGCACGCCCTCACGCCTTCCAACTCGGTGTCCTCACAGGTCAGACCCTTAAAGGACAGACACATATATGAGAAAGGGGACCTCAAATGGCTGCCTCCTTGGTTAGAGCAGTCAGTGGCCATCCCAGGCTGTGGTCACTGCCATTAGCTGTTACTGCGCCACTATCTGCATGCCGTGGAATGGACAGACAAGACAGATGGGGCACTACATGTGCACCACCGCCCCCCACTGCAGTGTGGGGCAGCACCGCACCCGTGCTCCCTGGCCTGCCCGCCACACCACTGCCGGCTCCCCCCACCCCCCTTTCCGGTTTTTGCACTTTAAAAACACTTTTTTAGTACACAAACAGAAGCGATTAGCACAGTTTTTGTCCACAAACTCTGTGCAGGGCAACAGGTAGGACCTCAGCCATCGCTCCTGCTCAGACACAATGTGGCCTGACCTCCAGGCTTCTGGGCAAGATCCCAGCGCACCCTTTCCTCCCCGTTTTCCCTGCCTGCTTGCATTTCCACCCTTTGCATCCATCCTTTGTTTGGGAAACCCTTTCTCTCCCCTTTCTGCCTTGTTCCCTCCTATTTGAATAAGCTCTTTTTGCCCCTTATTTACTCTTGGGGTTTCTCACAGAAGAGAATGTGATACTTATTTCACGTAAAATAACAGTCTTCAGGTGAATTTGTTTACTTATTGTTTCTAGAGTCTCACCATGTAATACAGGCAGACTTTCAACTCACTATGGAGCCCAGGCTGGCTTCAAACTTGTGGCAATCCTGCCTCAGCCTCCTGAGTGCTGGGGCTACAGGTGTTTCCAAGGATGCCATGGAGTGTGACCTGGGTGTCGCTGCTGCAGCCTGACAGTCCCCATGACTGTGAGGTCTCTGTAGTGTACAGTGGGGGTGGGGTGAGGTGGGGGTGGGTGTGTATGTGTAGTGGGAGGCTGCCCCGTGCTGAAATGTCAATGTGCGCTCCTCAACAGTGACAGGAACAGTCCATGCTGCAAGAACTGCCAGTTTGAGACAGCCCAGAAGCGGTGCCAGGAGGCCATTAATGCTACCTGCAAGGGCGTGTCCTACTGCACAGGTAGGCCTGGCTGCCCCGGCATTGGGCAGGGGTCACACTTCACTCCGAGCTGGTGCTGATGGCCTCCGCCTACAGGGAACAGCAGCGAGTGTCCCCCACCTGGGGATGCGGAGGATGACACGGTGTGCTTGGACCTGGGCAAGTGCAAGGACGGGAAGTGCATCCCTTTCTGTGAGCGTGAGCAGCAGCTGGAGTCCTGTGCATGCAATGGTAAGGGGCGCCCTGAGCATGCGGTGGGGGAACAGTGCAGCCTGCACACTCACAGGGCATGGGCCTGGGGTTTCTGCGCCATGGAGACGGAACCCAGGGCCCTAGGCGTGGCAGCTGTGTCCTCAAAGCCACCCAGATAGCATGAGCTTTGGGCTTAGCCAGAGGAAGGAGCAGGCAAAGCTTTGGGGACCTGTGTCAGGGTGGTCTGTCCCTTCCAGAAACCGACCACTCGTGCAAGGTTTGCTGCAGGGACCCTTCTGGCCGGTGTGTGCCCTACGTGGATGCGGAGCAGAGGCACCTGTTTCTGAGGAAGGGGAAGCCGTGTACTGTGGGCTTCTGCGATATGAACGTGAGTTTTGGTGTTCTATTTGGGTTTGTATGGGGACGCTGAGGTCAGTGGAGCAGTGGGCCCCAGTTGTCATGGCGATGAAGCAGGTGCTAGCTAGGACAGAGCTCAGTCTGGGTCACAGCCTGGTTCCTGAGGCAGCATCACCTGCTCCAGGGATGTTGGGCCTCATTCTTCTTGCCCACCGCATGTGGGGGATGCACTTGGGGTCGCCTACCCACGCAAAGAATGGGCCTGTCCCTTCGAGGCACTGTCCCCACGCTGTCCCAAGTCACACTGCTGGCACACGATCCCTCCCACCCGCTGTGTGCTCCGCAGGGCAAATGTGAGAAGCGGGTCCAGGATGTGATTGAGCGCTTCTGGGACTTCATTGACCAGCTGAGCATCAACACCTTCGGTGGGTCCTGGGCACTGTGGGCGGGCTGGCTCTGGCTTGTGGGTGGGAATCTAGGTCGGGACGGGCAGCTGAGCCATGCTCCGCACACTGCTGCCCTAGATCTGGCCGGGGAAGAGTCGGATAAAAATAAGCCTAAGAAGCTGCAGATGTACGCATCTGTCATTTACAGAACTTAGTCCCCCAAAACCAGTGACATCTAGGTCACAGGACTGCTGTTCACAGTTGTTGCTGCTAGTAGTGCCTGCAGGAGGGAGTGGGCATGGCGACCTGGTCTTCGTCCTGAGGCCTGAGAGGGGACAGGTGGAAGCTCAGGAACCACTTGCCATGGGTCCTGCCTGCTCCAGGGCTCAATGTGCCATGTCCACAGGGAAGTTCCTAGCGGACAACATAGTGGGCTCCGTGCTGGTCTTCTCCCTGCTTTTCTGGATTCCCTTCAGCATCCTGGTACACTGTGTGGTGAGTCCCCATGCTGTGTGGTCACACCTTTAGTGACAGCCCTGCTGCGTAAGTGCCTGAGAAGGCACAGCCTGCCTGGTGTTTCCAGACACTGTGGCCAGGACACTGTGGCCCCGTCTCACCTAGTCCTGTGCTACACTGGCCCTACTGGGGGCCACATCACTGCTCAGGGCTGTCTCAGGTCCTGTTCAATGGGCCGTGAGGCTGTCCCTGCACGCCACATGATCTGGGCGTCCACCATGTGAGCTATGCCATACCGTTCCTCCCATCTCTCACAGGCAGGGTTCCCAGCTGGAAGCCCTCTGGGCTTTCCCTGCCACAATCTGGGTATCTGTGAGATTGATCCCCTCCCACCAAGTTCTCACAAAGCCATTCTGTTCCCAGTGGACTGCAGGCTACACATCCCGGCTGTTCCAGCCTCTGCCTGGCCCAGTAGGCTATCACCCAGCAGTGCATTGGGGGTTAGGAAGCCACCTGAGTCGGGTAGGGCAGCTGGAGGTGGGGGTGAGGGGACATAGCCTTGCCCCAGCAGCTGGCTGCCCAGTTTCAGTTGGTTCTGTGAGAGGCCAGGATGAAGGCAGGGGAAGGCACCCTGCCACCTCGGTCCTTCTTAGCAGGGAAGGGTCAGGGTGAGTGTCCCCCTCTGCCCTGGGCTGCACCCCAGCACTTGGAAGCCCTTGAGCTTGGGCAGATCTGCCCTGGAGTGCATGAGGGGATATGCGACCCCAGCATTTCCCTGCAGGACAAGAAGCTGGACAAGCAGTATGAGTCGCTGTCCCTGTTCCACCCCAGCGTGAGTACAATCCAATTGGGCCCCTGATAGCCAAGCCCTGCACCCTGGGCAGCACACAGCTCCATCTGCACTGTAGCCTGCCCTCAGAGTACTGATCCCAGGTTTCTGAGGTCGGCATCACAGAGCTGTGCTGGGCTTGAGCCACTTCCCGGGTTGGGGGGCTGCTCTGGAGCAGCGGCTGCATCTGCCCCTCCCTGCCCTGCCCTGCAGAATGTGGAGATGTTGAGCAGCATGGACTCGGCCTCTGTGCGCATTGTCAAGCCCTTCCCTGCGCCCCCCACCCCTGGCCGCCTGCAGCTGCTGCCGCCCGGACCCGTGATGCCCCCTGCATCGGCGGCCCCAAAGCTGGAGCACCAGAGGATGGACACCATCCAGGAGGACCCCAGCACGGACTCCCATGCCGATGAGGACGGCCCAGACAAGGACCCCTTCCCCACAGGTAGTACAGCTGCCAAGTCCTTTGAGGACCTCACGGACCACCCAGCCACACGCAGCGAGAAGGCTGCATCCTTCAGGCTGCAGCGACAGAGCCGTGTGGACAGCAAGGAGACAGAGTGCTAGCCTCGCTGGGTGGTCAGTGTTTGTTGTCAGCAGTCAGGCTGGGCCAGGCCAGTTGTGCTTCTGAGCAGAGCCCTCCCCGTGGGTGACGGTGGTGACATACAGACCCTGGCTACTAGGAGTGTTTGCTAGCTCTTCTTGGACAGTTGGAACCTTGTCTTCAGGAAAAGCAGAGGAGATGGACCTGGTCACTCAGAGTGGGCCAGGGCTGGGGCCAGCTGGGAGGTGCAGATTGCCCGGCTTCTTCACCGGCTTCTTCACCTGCCCTGGGCCTCTGCACCCGGCTCTGTCCCTACTCATTCACATGAAGTCTTGAGACGTGGTCCACTGCTGGGACACCCAGATGCACTCCCACAGTCACGGCCTACACCCAGCCCCAGGCCCCCACTTTCCCCACCTTTACTCTGAGACAGAGCGTGCATGGCTGAGCAGGAAGCAATGTCAGGCCCTGCAATGCCTGTGGGTTGCTGTTCCCAGTGGCTGTGTGTATGCATGGCTCGGGTCAGCAGGACAGAAGGAAACATTTTTCATAAAACTGACTTTTTAAAAACAGAGACTGTCCTTCCTCATGCCATTCCAAGAGCAGGGTGTCTGGGGCCCCAGCAGGCCCCTCAGTCCATCTCAGCAGGTGCAGGACCCCCCTCGCCCAACAGGCTCCACTCAGGGTCCCCTGCCGCCACATCCTTCCAGTCAGGGAGCAGCAGGGGCAGGGCCGACACCTTCCTCTCCACCAGGGGCCACAGGTGTGAGAAGACAAAGTCGTTTCCCTTTGGTGACAGGTGGAGTCCATCCGACAGGAAGGCAGAGGTATCCTGGGGGAGCGGGGTGTGGGCCTCAGTTTGGAGCATTTTCAGCCTCCTGCCTCAGCCTCCCAACATTGCTGGGGTCACAGGCCCACGCCCCACTGGCCTTCAGTGTTTCCTCAGCCAAGGCTACAGGCAGGGTTCGGGTTCCACTAGGGCCAGGTGTGGGCTGTGGCAGCCTGTGTGTCGGCTGGGGATGGAACCACACACCAAAGAGCAGGAGTGGGGCCCTCTGCACTGTGTCACCACACCTCCCCTGCCCAACCTGGGCTATTGCCCTGTTACCAGGGTGGGGCCACTGGGGAACCCTTCCATGCGGTGGCCAGCAGGGGATGTGGCCTCAACACTGCTGCTGCTATTGCTGGGGTGTACAGACCTTGGGTGACCCGCCGCACTGTGGTGGGAAGGACAGACACCATGTCCCCAGGGAGAGCCCTTGCTGGGGCCCCATGCACCAAGCCACCGTACCTGATTGTCCTCTTGCATCAGAGTCCATAGGTCGAGGACATCTGTCCCACAGTCCTGGGCTACCTGTGCGCATGCCCTGGCATACTTGCCGGCCACCTCATTCTTGCGGTTCAGCCTGTGACCTGTGAGTGGAACAGCAGATGACAATGGCACCTGCCCTGCATGCTGGCCCCAGCTGGGCTGCTGGCAGCACAACCAGTGTCTCAGGCTTCAAGTAGGCACAGTGGGGTCGGGGGTGAGGGGCAGGGAGTTGAGCCACTGGTGGTGGGAGAGGAAAGTGGCCTGGGGTGGCTGTAACCCCCGAGGACTGATGTCCAGGGCCGAGGGACCAGTGCCAGCTCCACAGCATGACCTCCCCTTGTGACAGCCCACTGTAGTGGCACTGGGCAGTGATGGCGGTGGCGTCAGAGCAGGAGGCCATAGGTCAGAGGAGAAAGGCCACCCCAAAGCAGCCCATGCTGCAGGGCTGTACCTGGCCAGAGCCACCAGGGCACAGCAGTAGGCACCAGAGATGGGCCAGCCCCACTGCCTCATGTGCTCTGCAGGAGCTCTGGCTGTGCAGCTCCTGGAGCCCCTCCTCCCCAGGCTCCTTACCTTGTGCCAGGCAGTGCCGCTCCCAGGCAGCCTCGCACAATGGCGGTGGCGTGACTAGGACTACACGGCTCTCAGTGATGCCCACGGAGCGCAGGTAGTGCACCATGGAGCTCAGGTTGGCCGCAAACTCGTCCAGGGGTACGTGCTGCCTGGGGTTCTCCTCTGCGGGGACACAGGGCTGTCAAGCGTGCCCTGCTGTGAAGGTGGGGACAGCAACACTGGGGACCCTGCCCTCTGGAGGCAGAGGGAGAAGGCCTGCAGGGCTGAGCCAGCCCAGCAGTCTGCCAGGCTTCCTGCTCAGGAGGGAACAGCAGGACCAGGTGGAGATCGGAGATCGAGTGCCCTTCAGCCCAGTGGGGCTTCACAGAGCCCCCCACCCAGCTCTCAACAACACACAACACAAACCCAAAACAGACTGCTGGCTGAGAGGCTCCCCTTGGGCTGCGGGTCACTGTGACAGTCCTGAGTCCCGAGTGCACTTTGCAGGTGTGAAAGAGAACGTGCTGTGTGCCTGTAGTGCCTGTGTGCCCTGCGTGGACTTGTTTCCCCCACATCCTGGGGCCGAGGCCAGGTGGCTTCCCAGGGACCCTGGTTCTGCTACCAGTGACAGTAAAGTCCCCGCTCTCTTCGTAACCCACGTGGCTGTGAGCTGCTTATGGCTGCTCTGATTCAAACACTGAACGTCCTAGTTTTCCTGTGCTTTGGGGAGAGGGCAGTAAAGTTCCCCATTCTCAGACATATCAGCTGTCCAGTTCTCCCTCAATGAAATCTGTTCATGTCTTTTGACTGTCTTTCTACTGGAGTTCACATTTCTGTATTGATTTCTAAAGTAATGCCCCTGTTCTGGCCACACTTCTCAAGTATTCTCCTTAATTGGTCATGTTCTTTTTTAAAAACTTTTTTGTTTTGTTCCTGATTCTTGAGCCAGAGTATTATAGTTCCGAACAGCTGGCTTTGAACTTGGAGTGATCCTGTCTCAGCCTCCTGGGTGCTAAGATTATAGGTATGCACCACTATGCCTGGCTTTTTGTAACTTTCTGACTTGTTTGTTGTTTTTTGTGATGGTAAGACTTGAACCTCCTTAGCACTGAGCTAGCCACACCACCAACCCCCAATATAAGCTACTTGGAACTATTTTTTAAAACTATTTTCTTTCGTTTCTCTCTTTTTTTTTTTAACTCTTTGAGACAGGGTTTCCCTATGCAGTTCAGCCTGGCCTCAAACTCACAGGGATCCTCCTGCTTCAGCCTCCTGAGTGCTAGGATGATAGGTGTGCACCACCACACCTGCCTTGCTTTACCTATTTTGAAAACCAATTTTTCCTTTGCAATTTCCTCTGCTGCTTTTAAATTTTATCAAGTATCTGTCCTTGCCCTGTATTTGATAAAACTTCATTTCATGTTTTCGTTCTTACGCCTTTGGGCACAGAATGTGAATTATTCCACGTGGTCAGTATCTGAGACTGACCACACTAGGAGACAAGACCTCTAATCAGGGTACTCAGTGCTGCTACCCCTTTGTGTTCTGCCCCACTTGAGGTGGCCCTCAGCCTAGCAGACAAGCCACTCGGCCACTCAAGGCCAGACAGACAGACACAGACAGAAACACCCCACCACCACCACCATTCTGGAAGTGACCTGGCTTTCCAAAGCCAAGGCTGCTTCTCATTTCCATCACACCCAGAGGGCTCTCAAGAGGAGCTGGGCCAAGTCAGGTGGTGCACACTTGTGACACCAGCACCCTGAGAGGCTGAGGCAGGGGGATCAGAGGTCCAAGCCCAGTCTGGCTAACCAGTGAGACCCTGTCCCGTATTAAAAAGACACCAGGGATGTGGCTCAGTGCTGATCCCAGGTCTGCCAAAAAAAGAGGCCATGACTCCAGGGGACCAGGTCAGCCGGAGACAAATTGCCCGGAAGGAAGCAGGCGTGGGGGCCCACGCCTGACAGCTCAGGGGCAGAGGTGGGCTGGAGCCGGGACTGCGACCTCCTTACCTCTCAAGGAGCTGTCATTGGCACCAAAGAAAATGGTCACCACTGTGGGGCTGTCCCAGTTCCCCACCAGTCTCGGAAGGATGATTCTGGCCCAGCGGGTGTTGTAACCAGAAAATCCGCGATTCAGAACATCGCATTTTCTGAAACGAGAAATCATGCAGTGACCAACGGTGAACACAGACGGCTGCGGCCCGGGCGCTAGGGTGGGGGTGGGACTCACTGCTGCCTTCTGCTCACGCAGGCCCAGGCATGCGCACGCATGTCTAGGCAGCGTGGGAGTTGACCCCAGCGACTACAGCCAAGAGCTATAAGATCGCTAAGTTGAAACCCGCTGGGCGTGGTAGTACAGGCCTGTCTGTAATCCTGGTACTCTGGAGGCCGAGGCTGGATAGCCTCAAGTTGAAGGCCAGCCTGGGTTACCATAGTGAGTATCTATACAAAGAAAACCAAAAAAAAAAAAAAAAAAAACCCGAACAGTGACACAACTAAGGAATTGAAACAGCGATTTTACTTAGGGTAAGTGGATAGATTTTTGAGATTTTTTTTTTTTGAGTCAGTGACATTCATTGTTAGTTGCAGTTCCGCTTTTAAACCAGTTCATTAATAGGGATGTTATTTATTTATGAAACGCACTCGGGATGGGATCAGGCCAGCCTTACTATGCAGTAGCCTTGAACTGACCCTCCTGCCTCATCCTCCCAAGTGTCACTGCCATTGCCAGAACTTTCCTTTTTAAAATCATTTGGCTGTGATGATATGCATGCTCCTATAACCCCGACACTATGGGAGGCTGAGGCAGGAAGATCTAGAGCAACCTAGTGAGGCCGTTTCAACAATGATCCTGGGTGACCAGCCGTGGTCAGAGAGTCAGCCGTAGTCTTGGGCCAGCGGTGCTCGGTCTGCACCTGCGCCGCTCCGGCCTCCACACTGGCTCTGCCCCTCGCCCTTGCCAGGGTGCCTCAGCCCAGCCGCCAGCAGCGTGGGTGAATCGGGCGTTGGACACGTCCTGGTCCCGGGTTGGGAGTGACAATGCCATCCGACAGGTCCCTTTGTCACCACGCCACGTACCGGTTTCTCAAGGATCGAGCGCGCCACCGTGCCCCAAAGGAATCCGACTTTGATTCTGTCCCAACGCGGAATCTGGGGAGCGCAGGGCTTCCCCTCCGCGAGCCCAGCTTCATTCTCCCACAGAGCACCGCCTGATCGGAGAGGCCGGGGTGGCAGGGAGCCGCCGCCGTGTCCGCGTCCCCCTCCTTCCCCACGATGACCCAGACTTCTCACCTGACCAGTCGGTCAGCCAGCGCTGCTCCCCAGCCGCCCTGCTGGAAAGAAAACTGCAGACGGCAGCCGTCAGTTCTCCGTCCCCCAGGGCCACGCGCGAGCCCCGGGACACTGCGATGGCCTTCGCTTTCCCCGGGGACGGAGCAGCAGACACCGGGGGGCGGGGGGCGCACACCCGGGAGCCGGCTACCGAGGACTGAGGCAGGAGAAGGCAGACGGGCAGCTCCGCTAGGCGCAGACTGTAGAGGGAGCGGCTCTAGGAAGGCTGCCGAGCGGGAGCGCGCTGGCTGGCGGGGTCGGGCACAGCACCAAACTCCAAACCAAAGGAAACAGAAGAGCCCACCACGCGCGGGAAGAATGAACTGCTCAGCTAGCAAACGGCCCCGGGCCCTGCCCCTCCATAGCCGAGAGAAGCAAACACAGCCGCGCAGCCTTCCCGGTCACCCCGCGTGGGACCCGGAGCTCCTGCTGCACCTCCCGCTCTGCACACACAGAGCACCTGGCTCAGACCGCCCCGCCTCACTGTCACCAGTAAGCCACAAGGAAGGAGCTTTAGCTTCCTTCCCAAAGCTTTGGCTACTCAAGTTCGTGAAAAGATTCTCTCTCGCTTCTTGCAGTACTGCGGGAGGGAGTGACCCCAGGACCTCCACAGCCCCCAGCCATTCCTTTAGATGTTGAGACAGGGTCTCCCTAGACTGCCAGAGCTGGGCCCACAGGTGCAATCCTCCTGCCTCCGTTCCTGGACTCCAGGATTACGGATGTGCGCCGCCGCACCGGCTCCAGACTGCTTTTCCCTTTCAAGATGCCCACCATCCCCAGCAGGTTCCGGGTCCTCCACCTGGAACCCGCCGCACTAAAGTTGCAAAGCTCGGGTCGGCGCGCGGCTAACCGGCGACCCCTGCCGGCCGGCTCAGAGGGCCCGGAGCACGCGGGGCTGGAGGAGGGCGGGCGCGGAAGCACCGGAGCCCGCAGCCGAGCGCCCCGGGTACCTGAGTGATAGAGTCGCCGAAGAGCAACACGCGAGGCCACAGCAAGGGGTTCCCGCCGGCCGCGCTAAGGGGCAGCGCCATCCCGCTACCCTGAGCCGAGGGCAGACCGGATATCCGGCTGCGCGAAGGGCGGCGCCTGCGCAGTGCGACGCGCCCTTGCCGCTCTGCTGTGTCCACCCCGAGGTGGTGTGGCCGATCCCCGCCTACTTGAGACCCCAGTTGAGTTGCGGTCTCAGGGCGTCCTCATCTGCGGGCAGCCAGGTAGAACTCGGCCTCCCGCAAGCACTCGCGCACGCCCGTTGTCCCACCGTCCCGCAGGCCCGGCACCGCGAGTTCCAGCGCAGCCGGACGACCCCGTGACCCGACTTAGAATCAGCGGAACCGAGCCCGGGCCCTGCTCCTTCCCCAAGGAGAGCTCTTCCCGGCGACCCGCGCCTGGGCCGGCCGCATCCCTGGCCATGGGGACGGGGACCAAGCCAAGCCAGCGCGGCTTTGTGCAGCGCCGCCCGTGAGACGGGTGTGTGACACGGACCGAAGTTGAAGGCAGTATGGGTACAAGGGACAGATCCAGCACCTCGTCGGAAGCATAATCAATTTCTCTTCCCCAGGCAGGCGGGTTTGCACAGCCATTACCGAAACTGCATTCTGCATCCCCCTGGGTGACAGGGATCCTGGCTGTGTCACCTCTCTTCCTTAAGCTCCGATTCAGGCCATAGCTCCCTTTCTCGGGGCCTGCCAGCCCCTACCTATCAAAGGAACTGTGCGCTGTGAACTTTTTCAGTACTGCTTTCTGGTCTCAAGATTTGGTATGGGCTGTCTTTGAACTCACTGAGTAGCCTAGGGTAGCCTTCATCTTGGGATGATCCTCCTGCCTCAGCCTGAGTGGTGTGATTACAGACATCTACCACCTACCTCGCTTTGCTATCAATTCACATCTTTAATTTTCATTTTGAGGTAGCAAAAATCTATGCTGGCTGGTGACATCTGGTATAACTAAGCTCATGGAGTCTAGGGATGGTGGTGGCCAGCATAGGCAGCTGCTGCTGAGGTCCAAGACTTCCAGGTTCGAGCTCACCCCTCAGCCTCAGGAATGACTGCACTTCACCCACAGGCTCTTTCTGCAGGCATCTCCAGGTCCAGAATGCACTCAGGTGATTCCCAGCCAGGGCCTGAAGGTGATGCTGATGAGCCACCTGGGACACAAGTCACTGTGGCCCACAGCCACCTCTGGAGGTGGAGCCCAGATGGGGTCAGGGACCATGGCAGCCTCCAGGGCCAGACTGTTTACCATACATCAGGGGTGGTCACTGGGGTACTCGTGTGTGTCCAATAGTTTATAAAGCCTGGAACTTAATGGGTAACCCTCTTGCCCCTGGTACTGGGGACTGAACCCAGAACTTCACGCCAGGCTACACGTGAGCCCTTCTGGTATTTTGAGATAGTCTAAATGACCCAGGAGGGACTCAAACTTGGAATCCTCCTTCCTCAGCCTCGTGTGGTGCTGGGATTAAAGGAGTGTGCCACAATCAGCTGTAATACAGTGTTTTTCAATTTAACACAATGTTAGATGTGGGCCAAAGACAAACATAAAGTAAGCTGCTTTATTTACAAAAGCTGCAGTTTGTTTGAAGCAGTGGATCTGTGCAGCTCTGAGGAGGGGAGGAGGATGAGGCAGTGCAGGTGAGGATGAGGACAGCGAATGCAGCAGGTGGTACTGAGGCCAGGCAGCCCCGATGGAGGCGTTCTCTGGAGTCAAGTGAGCCAGCCGTTGCTGAAACACGTGGCTGTCACCTGAACACGAAGAGTCCTGAAATGGCCCTGCCCCGCTGCCAGCGTGGACCTGGACGCTCCGCCAAATCCCTGATTTCCGCATCTGTCAAATGATGTGCATGGTGGGGGCAGCAGCTCCAGGAAAAGGAGACAGGAAGGGCTGGTGCTCTGAAGTGACCTCCTCCAGACCTGTATGTTAAAACCCCAACCACGGAAATGCAAGCAGTGGAAACAAGCAAACCTCTTTGTAGAAACTGCGGGCGGAACCCAGGGCCTTGGCCCTGAGCTGCATCCCAGCCCTTTCTGGCTTTCGAGACAAGGTCTCACCAAGTTGCGGGGGCTGAGCTGAACTTGCAGTCCTCCTGCCTCAGCCTCCCGGGTGGGTGCTGGGATGGCAGGTGTGGGGACCAGGCAGAGCCCACCACAGAGGGCTCAGTGCACCGGCGTGAGCGCATCATACAGCCGCTGGGCAGCCAGCTCCACCATCTCCCGCAGCGACTCGTCGTCCTCGCTGCCCTCCTCACACTCCACACTCTGCAAGGCAGCGCAGTGCCGGTTATGCCATGTAGGGGAAGCAGCGCCCCACAGTGCCAGGAGGGTGCGTTCAGGGATGCAGAGGGCACTGAGCAGTGGACAGGAACCCCTGGGAGCTGCGGCCACTTCAAAGCCTCTTTGGGGTTTGTGTTTTGAGACTGTCTTGCTGTGTATGTCAGGATGGCCTCGCACTTGTGGGAATCCTCCTGCCTCAGCAGCCTCCTGGAATGCTGGGACAAAAGGCGGGCACCACCACACCGGGCAAGGCTCCTTCCTGAGGCCTTCATGTGTCCCCCAACTGCTCTGTGGGAAGCACGGGCCATGAGGCCCCAGCCCCTGACCTGGTGGATCTGAGCTCTCGAACCCTCACTGGCTGCGACCCCACTGCATGCTCATGGCCTCGCCTGCCTTCCCTGCGGTAAAATAAATCAAGGACTTTCGCAATGCCTCTGTTACAAACATGTAGAAGACATCTGAAATATGAGGCACTGGGTCGGGAAAAGTATGTCAATCTCCAAAAGCAGCCCCAGCTGGTGTTGCAATGCACACCTGGGTCCCAGTGCTCGGGAGGCTAAGGCAGGAGGGTGGGGAGAGATAGAGGCCAGGCTGGGCTGACAGCAGGCACCAGTCTCCAGCTCTGCGAAGGGGATGTTCTTATTTAGCCACCTCCTAAAATCCTGAGTGGGCCCTGAGGGCTCAGGTTGTAGGGGTACACAGCAGGGTCACCCACCAGTGAACTCTGGGCGCCTCTGCACCCGAGTGAACAGGAGGCTGAGTGAAATACCCCAGGTTGCAAAGTGAAGCACTGGGCTCGGGTCTGAGGCCGTCTGTGTCCCGTGTCACCTCCCAGAGCGCAGCACTCACCCGCGTCTCCAAGTTCACATTGGCCGTTTTCCCGTCCACGGTGACGCTGAGGATGGAGCCGTCCTTTACACTCACGCAGTCCTCTCCAAATATGTCTCTGAGAGGAGCGAGACGCGTGAGCCCTGCTTCCCGGAGCTGCTCCCGAGACGCCCACGGTTTTCCCCAGCCAGGGCCGTTCCCTACCCAGTCGCTATGGTGCCTGAGCTGGGCTTTGCGACCCTCCCGCCTTGGCCTTGAGTCCCGGGATGGCAGGGGCTGAGCTGGGCCAGGCACAGTGGTGTGTGCCTGTCATCGCAGGCACTTGGGAGGCTGAGGCAGGAGGGCTGTACCCTGGAGTCTTGCTGGTGCAATGCAGGGAGACCCTATCGCAAAATAAGCATCTGAAAAGGGCAGGAGATGCAGCTCGGGGCTCCCTGGGCTCAAGATGCAGGGCCGGGGCTGGAGGAGACACGGCCTCGACTCCTAGGCCTCCAGACCATGAACTGAGGAAGCTGTGTGAGGCTGTGACCTGCTCTGGAAACACTGTAGGCAGGTATGCTGAGGTCTCAGTGCTACCCAAGGGGTCACTGAGGAGCTCCTGGCCGGAGCCAGGTTTCA